TAATATATAATAGTTAGTTTTTAATTATAGATAAGTTAAACTATATTAGGTTTATTATTAGCAGATTATATAAGGTATAATATTAAGCAGTTATTAAAGTATTATATCTTTTAATAGTAGATTTAATATATATTAGGCTTAATTAATATAAAGAAGTTTTATTAATAGTTAGTAAGCTTAAGTCTATAAAAATATAAATAAATACATTTTATATATTAATGCCATTCTATAAGGAATAATAATGTTTAGAGATATAGTTATTCCTAAAATATAGTATTCTATAGGATAATAACGTTCTAGTATTAGTTATCTTTATATATATTATACTATAATTAGTTATATAAAAAGTAAAATTAATAGGGTATATATAATATAACCGCTAGGGTTATAATAATAAAGTTAATAGCTTAATAGCCTTATTAGGCTAATAGTAAAGGAAAAAGAAAAAAAATAATTATAAATAATATATAAGTTATTTCTTTAAAATAATATTCTATTAAAAGAATAATAATAAATTAAAAATAAATAAAGTTTAGCCTTAAGTTAATAAGTAATTAATATTAAATATTAATAATAGCCTGACTATTAGTTTAGTATAGATTTAACCACAACATTCTAGCCATCCACCTCAATTACATCACCCAACAATACCAACCTTCTGACTTCCCTTTTCTCATCGCTTGGGGTGGTATTCAGCCATCTGCTCCTCTGCAACAGCAGCTGCCCATTTTGTCATGACTTCTACCATTTTTTGGGCATTCGCATGACATCGGAATAGTAGATAGGGCAAGCATCGTATTGCTGTCAGCATCGTTCTCGTCAAGTGTCGTCACGTCTGGTCGTGGAATTCTTCTCCAGTAGTCATTCGAGTGTCGTCATGATCATGGTAGAGAAACTCCCAATTCTGGATAAGTTGTGCCTTCAGGCGCCCAGCGCTCCCAGTCCAGGCCACGGGTCTCCCGACAGGCACTGTCAAGTCGCAGTGCTGATGAGACACGCGAATGCATTTTCGCCAGGCAAACACAGCGTTGATGTGTGACAAACGAGGGGTGTAGTGAGGGGCCACGATCGGTGAGAGATGGTCGCAGGCCAGAGAAGGCCCTACGCCTCCGACTCCTTCCACCTGGACCGATACGCCGAGAACAGGTTGAGGGGAAACATTGCAGAGCTCCCATCAACGAAGAGCGTGTCTGTTTCTGGACTGCACAGACCGACATTCGAGTTGCCCTCTGATGCATCGATGTCCAGAAAGCGATTCTGTCCTTCATCATTCTGAACGAGCTGTCGAATACACCGGCGCGGAAATTCGCGAAAGAATGAGAGCATGATTCTTCGACTATCTCTACATACACTGAGACCAACGGGTCGTTTTGGGGATTCGATGGTCTGATGCCAACGGTAGATAGGTCGCTCCGGGTACAGCGGCTCGAGGCCTTCTAGACCTGGCCGGTCTCCAGGCTCGGGCTCGCACCACTCATCATAGCTGGACTGGATCTCGATAAAAGCTCGGTGTATGCTGAACTCGGGGAGGGTTAGGCGCCAGATTTTCTCTTGCAGCTCCTCGGGGATGCCAAGCAAGTGACGAGGAGGAGCTATCGCAAGCGGAGTTTGTGGGGGAGAGGGAGGAGTGAGTACGTTTGTGATAGGGAGCGACATTGTGAGATTTTGCTAAGATCCAACTCCGGATCACAACTTTGCAAGACCCGGAGGCACAGGTCTGTCAAGCAGCATGGCGAGTTCTTTTTTTCCCCTGGTGCCAGGCATCACACAGCTTACGAATCGCAAATTGCATGGGATCTAAGCTGCACGCTACCGGGGTTGATCCTGCACTGTCTTTCATATTAATGACACCCGTAAAGGTGGCATCTCCAGGACGGCAAAATACATCATCACCCTTCAATCTCGGTAACTTAACTTGACCAGCCCATGACAGCTTTACTGCAAGCCAGCTTGGCTGTGTTACATGAGATGATACAGTTTGCTATAATTTTTCACTGAAATTTAATCACCCCACTTTGGGTCACTGGCAGGTCGGGGCGTCTGTCTCAGCCTTGTGCTACAGGTTGTGGAAGTCAGGACAACAAGGTGGTGGCCAGTGTTTTACTCTGGGATTCGCTGCGGTAAGCACAACCAGGTTGCCGTGGAAATCTTACTTGGTAGTACAGCAGACCAGGATGCGCGAGGTTGGTAAATGGAGTCGTTGACGGAGTGGCTCTAACACGATGCTGAAACATTGATCAGCACCTTTGCTACTGCCTTTGACATTTTGATTGCTGTGCGAATCTCGCAAACGTCACGATCTTATTGGCGATATATCACCGTGGCTGCCTACTCGTGCTTGGCATGGCGCAGCCGATAAACTGCACGGTACATGTTCTCCTGAATCGTGAAAGACTCTTTTTTACTTAGGTTTTGCAAACCGTGGCTTTTCGTACGGTGGCTATGCGCTATCTGCAAAAGGTTATGGGTTGTAATGAGACCAGAGGTGTCTGTGGTGTCTTACCTTGATTTAAATGGGGAGAGTTTCAACTGCACTGAACTGACTACATCGTGTTACTGCATCCCTCATTGCAGAATCTGGGTACTCTGGCGCTGTGCTTGCACAACTCGATCTATGCTTGTGTCAGGACATTTAAATTTCAGATTCTGTATACCAGAAACACGCAACCGTTGACGCGAGATTTCGTATTCGGTCGAGAGACTGGTTTTGAGCCTCGCGTAACACACCATGTAGCAGATTGAGACAGAGGCTGGGAGGGAACTGTCGGTGTGGCAAGGCTCTGTTGAAGTCGCGATCACTTGAATGCTCCGAAATGTACATTTTACGATCGCCACTGGCAATGTAAGGAGTATTCGGACTATATTCACGGAAAAGGGTCTAATATACATCCCGAAAGGCGCAAGAGTGGGAAACCAAGGCAGAGAAATAATGGATCAACCAAAGAGGACCCGTCTTGGCACCAAATAATACATGATAGTGCATGTCTTCTTACCTACTGTGTCGCTCTGATGGTCAGCCAGCTCCGACACCCTTGTTGGCGCCATCGTGCCAAGGGGAGGACGTGATTGATTCGTTGGTCAACTCATGTTGTCTCAGCCATCAATCACACGTGGCGCCTGCGCAAACACTCCGTGCAATTCCGCAAATTTGGCTTCCTTCTAAACGAGCAGCTGGTAAATCGCAGGGCTAAGCCTGCGGAAGATCAACTGATGCGGCTATCGCAGGCACCGAGACATCTTTTTGGCAATGTTTGCGCGGTTCGTGGTCTTTTCAATTGGTGGCCCGGCTTCTCATGACTCTACCGCGCAGGTACGGGAAACCTGAGGAGCAGTACATGGAGAGCGATCCCAGGATGTTGATTCAAGTGATGAAAATAAACTATTAAGGCTTATTGCGTTCTGATGACTTCGTATTTATTACTTATTCAGATCGCGAGTTCTTTGACCAACGCAACACAATCTTCTCAATCGACATTAAAACGATCTACAGGAAATGGCGTTAATATTAGGTTCTTGTGCTGACTGGTCTCTGCCCTACACAACTTATCTTGAAACCATCATTATAGACGTCAGTGATCAACAGTCGTCTGTTATGTGAGATTGATTCTGATGCGACACTAATTCTGATGTTAGAAGCAATATTTGCGGAGTGATACGATCTGCATCTATACTCTTATCTTCATTGGAACTGCAATGAAAACTGAACTGACTGTTGGATCTGATTGACCTGGTGGAGCCGGCTGCCATATCGGCTTAGCGCCAACTGATAAGGTATCGATAAGCCGCAATTCGCGTGAAATCACTTCCAACAGGCATCCGGGTTCCTCTGGTTGCACCCGGTCCAGGGTAGCTTGCCTTTCTCGCTTCACGTCCATTTTCATCCTATAATCAGAGTGGGCAGAAAGCATTGTCTGTTCACAATGCTTAGAAGAAATAAACGATTAATATTCTTTTCATTTGAAATGCAACTTCGAGGTGCAATAAGGTAGTGACGGCTACTCAGGTTTTATTTACTTACCATTTCTGTGAGGTTTGGAGCATCCGCTATGATGCATAAGTCAGGGTGCAGCAGTGTGGAGCATTGAACAACGCTTTCGACAAGCAATGGCATTGCGCTTTCGATATGGGAGGCTAAGGTCTCAATTGAATGACTCAGGTAATTTCAAAATTTTCTGCATCGTTCACATCTGCACCGCAGAGTTAGCCTTGACATAACCCGTCGCATTGCAATGTCTTTATACTGATGCGGGAGACTGACAGTGTCAGCCAGACCTTACTGAAGAGTAGTCCCGGCACGGTATCTTGAAGAAAAGCATGGAGTTAAAAGAAGAGACTTAAACAACTTAAGTGATGTCACTCAAGACTCGGTGCGGCGATAGAGAATCAACAGCGGAAGCTGGAGTGTCGAGCAGGGTTAAGGCCCGAGCTTCTCTATCTGGAGTCGGACGTTGTGCTAGGCCACGGCTTCAAAGGTGCCAGGCTGTATTGCCAAGAATTACTCACACTGGATCGCTCAAATCATCTTTGGATTACTGACTCCAGTTCCAGACCTTTCCGTAAGGCCTGTTATCATCATGCTGGCCTGCAGATTCACTATTTTGGGTTCAACAAACACGAAGAGTTCCCATCCAAAGCAGCTTTCTCATTTCCCTCCCTCACAGACAAACAAGCCTTACCTGTGATGCTTTGTAATTTTGAGCACAGGTGTCCAGCCAAGCCAAATCAATTAATTCCCAACCTCCACTCTACTGGACCCCATCACAACCTTCATTCACTCCAAGCCCTGAGCCGCGAAGGCACGTGAATTCGCGTCTGCCAGTGGAGAAGTTGCTGATAAGATAAGAGGCTCTGACCCCACCAACCCCGCGGTGAATGACGCGGTGAATGACGCGGTGAGGTAACACAGGCATCCCCACCCACCAAAAAAACAACAACAACAACAGAAATTCCCCTCCAACCTCAATTTTCATTTCGCTCTCTTCTCTTCTCCCTCTGCAGTCATGGCCGAACACGTCAAACTATCCCCCGACTCCTCCCAACCTCGCGCGCCGTCCCTCGACAAGTCCCCTACGGTCTCGCGCAAGGTCTCTCCGACCGAAACTCCTCTCCCGTCCCCTCCCGATTCCCTCGGGCGCGATCGTCCTGCCGCTGCCGCTCTTCCGAAAGTCCTGGTCGAAGCCTTGCATGAACTCGAAGAAGCTAGACCTCGCGAAGAAGATTACCATAAGACTTTCCCACTTAGCTGGGCTGAGTTCAAGAGCGCCAAGGAAGAGATTGAAGCGACGTTTCGTCGTTTTGACTACGATCCTTTCAAAGGCGAGATAACCATCCGAATGCCATCCTCAGTCCACGAGGGTTTCGCCGGATCGTTCAACACGGCTGTCCTCGCAAAGCTCTGGCCTCTCATGGATGGCGACAATGCCACGGCTAAGTTTGTTGCAGGCATTAGACAGATGCTGTCTACAGACATCATTCCAAACACCCAAAGACGACCCGACGATCCAGATGATGATGTCGACAAGAAAAAGCAGAAGTCACCAGACCCTCAGTACCGTCATGTTAAATCGGGGGAGTCTGGTGTAGTCGTTGAAGTCGCGTATTCTCAGCAAGGCAAGAAGCTGAAGAACCTTGCTAAAGGCTACATCGGCGGAAGTAAAGGCGCTATCCGTGCTGTGATTGGCTTCGATATCAACAAGAATAAAGAGTCAACTGTTTCGGTCTAGAAGGCCAGACTGACCCCCAAGCCAACTGGACATGGATCGATCTTGGAAGTTGAGCAAGCTATTAACGCAGTTGTAAGTCTGCTCACATGTTCAACAATATCATTGCTAATTAGTCTCTAGCCTTTTCGCGATGCCCATAAACAGCCTGTGAACTCAGACCACGAGCTTGTCCTCACCCTGCACGACCTGGCCGCTAAGGAGGGTCTTCTCGTCGATGTCGATGACCTGCCAATCGCATTCCGATATGACGAGCTCTGTGGCATTGTGAACGAGATGGAAGAGTTTCTTGAAAACAAACTTCATAAACAGAGACTTCAAGATGCCGGCGAAAATGAGGGTGACTCAATCGAACTCCGGATTTCCAGCTCCAGCTCAATCGAGCAATTGTCCACTGATTCTGAGAAAGAAGAGCCCCAGAAGAAGGGCCGCAAGGGCGAGACCGGTTTCTATCGTACTGTCAAGGGCATCCAGGACCGCCCGAATGTCACGACACGCTCAGGCTTAGGGCCAAAGCGACCCGCGCCCGCCAACACTGGCGAGAACCTCCCTGTCCCTAAGCGCCGCTCTAAGCGACGAAGAAACTAGAGCTTGGATACCGAGTATTGATGGGGTGGTACTGGATCTGGATATGGTGATGTCTTGTGTGGCAGTTCTGGATCACGATGTCTTGTAGACGTTGGACATGTAAAGGATAGAGTTCTAGAGTTCTAGACTGAGACAATGGCTTATAGCGGTTGGAGATAGATGTCTTCTGAATTGATTACATCTTGGACAGACGCTAGCTAACAGATGTACTTTGAACTTGATGCCAGAAGTTATAACCCTTGGATGCGCCGTGATTTTGGCAACACAAATCGATGACAAAGTTTCCTCCAGAGAAGGGCGCTCATGGCTCTTATCACGACAACACCGTCAAAGTCTTCGTCGATACCCGTGAGGCAGGCTTAACAATCTGTTTGCTCTTTGTGTCAGAGCTCAGACTTGCCTGGAATCGAGTGAGGTCATTTACAGCAGCAGCCAACAAGTGACACAAACCCCAGCCTCAAGCTACGGTCATCAACACCGATTCCAATTAGCTTTCTTCTGTAAGCTCTCAATTTGGTTACAATAAGAGCCGGCTACAGCGCTCGGAAGGTATGACAGTACATGATTGTCAATATAAGGTACAGCGTATCCGAGAAATTTATTGGCGGCAGTGTGTTGAGCCCTTTATAGCTTCCCACAATGTCGCATCTCTTGTTCAAGTCGCCCGGAATATCACTCACTTGTGATTTGGCAAATTGCCAATTCCGCCTCCAAACGATTTATATATGCCTTAAGACTTGAAGATATCGATTCCTAAGGTACTTACAAATCCTGGCTTCTTGGTGTCAAGACCTGACTTTAGAACTACGCACTTAATAGGTTTTAATATAACTCATCGGCTGAATTCAAGGACACATGACGTATTGCTTAGGTCTGTATTATATGAAATCTAGAGCGAAAAGGATAACTCACTGTAGAGATCACAAAAGATCAGAACATCGCCAGCCTGCATTATGACTTTGCAGGTGGCAGAGTGTAGTGATGTATCGGTGTCGCAAAAGTCTGGTTGACATCTATGGAGTATGTAAAACGATTATACATGACTACAAAAAGCTGGTTACGCGGCGATTTGAGGGAAGGGCTCAGTTGGCGAAGGATGGCAAATCTGTGTGAAAATGGGAAAAGCTTGGTAATAACTGACAGAAATCCGAAAGTCATCATACTTCTACGAGAAAAACGCCTGATAAGTAGAGTTAAAATTCTAGTAAGTCTTTAGATACTTGTGGCTACTCTCATAAGGAGCTGAAACTCAAATGCTGTGGTTACCAGTTTGAAGAACTAGGCATTTGGACTAACGACTTGAGGGCAGTTGGCCTCCAATGAAATCTTCTTATTGGCTTAAGTACCCCTTCTGAGTCTGGCATACAGCCTTGAAAAATGCAAGAGGGCCAAACGAAGACAGTTATAAACGCAGCGCAGAAGAATGTTTTATAAGCAGTTCAAGAGGCAGATATAGAAGCAGTGGGATTTCACTGAAAGAAATGTTCTTGCTAGATACTATGCGCTTTATGTCAGTTCATTTCGCTCAAGTTTATATATTTAGTGCTGATTGCCAGCAAAGTGACGCACCACATACATTAAAATTGCTGGTAGCTGCCCCGTTTTCTAGTAACTGTCGAGTATTATGCGGAAGGCGTCATGATGGATTCAGTGTAATCATAGATAATAAAGCCACTGGTAAATGGGATTGAGGATGTTGCATTCCTTTGACGATGCTCGCTTACCAGACGTGGCATTTCAACTAGTACATCTTGGGCGAATGATCGACAGCTAGAGAGGAGCTAACGCCCTGACATAAGATATAAATAGACTTCCGTACTCATAATTGCCATGAAATTCATCAAGGCTAGCTTGGTTTTTAATAAGCTACCGCAAGCCTCAACAGTATTTTTACCATTCCTTTGAAGGTCGGGTCTTCAAGAGGTACAAACGTTCTTTACGGAACTTCTTTCTTCCAATTGGACCTATTTACTCAGTCTCATCCCATCACATAACTAATGATGACGCTCGCCGTGATGAATTTCTTGTGAATTTACAACACAGCAAGCAATTGTTAAACACCGGGGCACCTCGTGATATTCAAGAGTAACGACGCAGCCTCCTCAGGCTTAGATTTGACACTATCAAGAACAGAGGTAACTAAATCAATCATTCAGGTCAAATCGTATGACCATGGGAGATTATTTGCAGACTAGTCTCTGAATCACGGGCCATTGACAAAGAGACCCCTGTCCAGCTAACCAATGTCATCGCTAGTGTGTTTGACTCGATCTTAACTGACTTGCCAAGAGATATAAGGAGATTTCCCCACATCATCTCCACCGCCACCGACATATCCGGCCGAGAAATCGTACGATATAACTGTCACTGGGTAGATCTGGCTTGTGCGTAGATAGTTAGACGCCACGGTTTGCAGATCTTTATATGACAGACGATTGAACGTTTTTTGTTTTGTTTTTGGGGGGTGCCTTGTGACTTTGCCTCGCGGGAGCATCGTTGTTTGCTGGGCCTCTTGTTACATGCGGTGTCGATACAGAGTGTCCACAATCGAGTGGCACCAAGCGGACATACCAGTTCAAATCACTGACCGACCCTGGCCCAAGCGCATTGTATGCGATATGAATGAACCCAAGAATATCATCAATCTTTAAAATATCAATATTACCTATTCGCGTCATCGAGGCTGGGACTCGGGAATGTGACCACCTTGTAAACACCATCTTTCCACAAATAGACTGTGGAGCACAGTCGCCATGACGGAGCGTAGATCATCGGCCCGCCCGTCATTTGCCGTCATATCCAAGATGCCTGTGGTCGAACCAGCTTGCGACTGACTGCGCACTAGTAAAGTAGTCTGTCATGACAGTAGTTATCACCCCCTGCTGCAGTTTTTGAGCCATGATGGCCTCAATATCTGCTTCTGTTATACACCCTGTTTCTCTGAAATCGACCGGAAATATCGGTTTGTCTGGTTGGCCGTGCCCTGGCTTGTCAACGTCTCGTCTTATCCGTGACTCGGCGGGGACATCCTACCACTGGAGTAAAAGAAGAGGCGGTCTCCGGGTAAGGATCCCAAAAAGAGCCAATGTATCGATAGTAGAATATTACGCTTGGTGGGCTGACTTGTCGGTCGAAAGTACACGTCGGATAGTATCATGATGTTCTCAGCAGGGCAGCCATAAACTTGTTGCAAAAAGGCAGCTATGCCGCTGGCGTTATGAGATCGAAGTTGACCCCGAGTGTTGAAGTAATGGATACAGACAATGACGGCCTTAGAGATTATAGGCACCCGGTTAATCATCGATGTGTAGCCGAAACAGAATTCTGGCTGGGGCTCATCCTGAGCTCCATCCATGACTGAATCGTGGGGTTCTTTAAAGCTGAATGAATCCATGAGGATTATGGATCTAGACGGCAAGATATTGTGTTTATGTGCCATTTCCAGAAAGGCAAAGGACATGTCAGCTCGACACTGTCACATGGCTGGATCATTCCCGCTTATATTCCATAAGGGTTACACCATCTGAACTCTCGTATATTAACGGGACAAGGGAGCGAATGTTTCAAATCAGCTGGAGTTCCTCTCTTTTGTGTTACAAAATATTAATATATAGGGCAGTAGCATATCTAAATGTTACGCTAATACTACTGAAAAACATATTGCCTTTGGAAGCCTAAAGTTAATTGGTATTTTTCAGTGTGTTGGCTTGATATATCTCGTTGAGATATCATAAGCTTTAACTATCAATCAATAGTTACACAGTATAATAGGCTAGCCATTAATGCTGTTATTAGGCCGTGGAGAACCGACTCAGAAACTTCAAGTCAGTGCCAAAATGGTCTAGACTTTTCATCCCTTAGTTAAAAAGGGTTTAGCGAAACCTTAATTACGGGTAAGTTCTTCCATGTTCACAGCTGTTAGGCAGGTGCGATAAGCTTAGAGACGTTTGGCACAAGGTGGCGGGCTTCTTTGTAGCGTTCCTGCATCTTGGGAATCATGTCGTACTGGTGAGCTTGTCTCGGGCCCATCTTGAGAAAGGTTTGGAGGGCAGCTTCCCCCAGGATTGCGCGACTGGCGTGATACTTGTAACCAGCCGTGGTGGGGGCAGGGTGGCCAATCATGTCATCAAAAGCAACCTCGGTGTTGCTCGATGTAAGCTTACCAATGACTGAAAGGGATGTACCTACAACAGCCACATCAGGTGCACCAATGGGGCCCAAAAAGGGGCTTCCGACCTGAAGCACAGTACTGTCAATTTTGGCACCAATGTTAACGACATTGTTGAGGCAGCCCCTGAAGGATTCTTCATCGCCAGCAGGCTCGTTCGTGATTACGTCTTCTGGCTGAGTAGTCTTGATATACTCAACGCCATTGCGAGTTGTAACAGGGGCCTCTGTACTGCTAAGTGCATCTACCATGCTTTTATAGTAATTTCCGTATTCTCCACGGATAACACTCGCCGAGTTCCTGGTATCGAGTCCGCAGACATTCGTTCCGATCAAAGTATTCTGTCCATCGATGAGAACAGGAGAACTGGACTGACCTTGGACCCAGGTTAGACTCCCTCTCCCTGCCTTGCTTTCTATGCGAGAGCGTGACTTCTTGCTTCATATTCGGATTTCTTTCAGCCTTAACATACTATTTGATCCAGTTCCGGGGACATTCAGGTACTGTGCTAGTATATCTGCCACCGCATGCACTATCACGGCCCAATCGAGACGGCGGCCGTTCTCCTTGGTGTCAGAGGAGGGATACCGATATGGGATAGAGATTCTCTTAAGGCTTTTCCCAACAAGACCTTGAGCTCGGGGATACTATATACTTTAGGAATTAAGCTTACCGAGGATTACAACGGCTTAAAGAGGGCTGCTATCGCCCCTGTATATTCTCTTAAATAGTATAGTAATATTCTTATTATTAGTAATATATATTTTCCTTAAATCTCTTTAGGTAATAAGCTATTTAATAAACTTTTTTATTATCTTTTTTTTAAATATTAAAAAATAAGCTTAAAGTCGCTATTAACTTAATAGCAAAGGATTTTACTAAATTTAATTAATTAATATATTAAGTAATATTATAAAGGCTATTAAGGTTTATACTTACTTAAGAGAATTAATTTATTTATAACTTAATAAAAGAAATATATTAAAATATTACTTAACCTTATATTAAATTATATTTCATAATTAAAATAAAATAATATAATTAATAAGTAAGTAAATTAAATAAGTAAATAATCTAGTTTTTTTAACCTTTTACTTATTAAATTTCTCTTTAAATAACTTAAAAACTTCTTAATTCTTTTTTCTTACTATTAGCCCAATAAGGCTATTAAGCTTCTAACTTTTTATCCAAAGGCTTAAATAATAAGGCCCTTATAGTAGGCCTATATTTTAAAGGTTAAAATCTTATAAGGTTTATCTGCCTTAATGGCATAGTTACTACCTTGATTAAGTAGTATTAATACTGCCTGCAGGTTTACCCCTTAATAGCTATATAAAGCAATTATTAGTGTTGATAAGTGCAGTTAGATTAATAGCTATCTAGAGTATGCTTCTGTTAGTCTCATCTTTGGGGTTATACTACCTTAATAGTTAAAATGTCTATTGATAATAGATAGTTGATGATCGAATAAGGCGAGATATAAGTTGCCCCTTGTCTCGTTTTCGTTCTGCAATTGAACTTGATTTCTGGTGCTACCTCTGAACTATCGACAACACAACTTACGCAAGCTATATTTTACTGGTTCCCATTATGCACGGGATGTTTAATTATCTACACCCAGTCGCGAAGTCCAGGTCATTAAGGCTATTTATTACATAGCGCCATGTTAACTGTTAATACACGATCCCGAGACCAATGTAATCATTATCATCAAAGGTAAGTAAAGTTATATCGCCTTTCGTCTCCATCCATCTATTATGTGTGTATTTACTCCTCCTCATTCATCATATTATCAGATAGCAAACTAGCTCCCTTCAACTATATCGCGACCAGTACAAGGTGGGCCTCCGCTCAGCACGCAAGAGTCCCATAGTAATTGTTGCATCTCCAATCAAGCGAGTTTGGCCGTCAGCCCTACAGAGTATCTGAATACTCTTGGAAAGCCGTCTAAGTTCATCAATAACATGAACACAGAAATCGGAAACTGACCTCTGATGAGTAGATCTTGAGCAGTAGGTCGCTTGCTTTGCAGGTATTACAATAGCACTCAGAACTTGTTCCCCCACTAGGAGAGGTTCTGATACCAAAATATGACACTACTTCAAAGGGAACTTCAATCAATGGCCCATGCCCTGGATCGGATACACTGCCGACTAAAATCTCCTGGTCAAGGCCCTCACGCTCGACATCCTGTATCACAAGAAAGTTAAAACGAATGATAGGTACCTTGCGCGAGCAAATAGCTATCGGATTGTCTACCGATAAAACGATATAGAGTGAAAACAGGTTACAAGACATGGCATTCGGTCTGACAACCCTTGCTGCGAATTTCACCCAAGCTAATATTTGTAAATGTTTGAACCAACGAACGACCTTAGATCAATGCTTCCGAGGTTATACTGATAGTCTAGAGCTTTCGAAAGAGGTTACCAGGATTGTTCTTCATGCAGAAAGATGACACGTGGATTGTAAAGATCGAGAAGGTATCTCAAGGCAAGTAGGCCAGCAACTGATGATGCAGCAATTGATAATGAAGGAGGAGGCTGAGGCGTCGAAATGGGGAAAATGTCACTCAGGGACCATAATCCCCGGCCTTATTGAAGCATCTGTCAATTATCACGAAAATGGCCTTATCCCTTATGGCCATAATACCTCTTTTAGAACATTTGCGACATAAAGCCTAAGCCTGATGTGAAATCTAAGTGGACACACACTCCTATCGGCCTTCGAACTGAGTACCCTTCAACTACAGCTGACTGATAAGTCTTCGAGTACTGAACGCAGCGTGGTGAAGCATCTTGGTGAATGACGCCGCCTGTTCTCGTCGATAAATTGGGGAGAGACTGAAAATCTGAACCAAGTGTTAGTACAAGAGAGTAATCTTTCCAGGAGAGGGCCTGTATATACCTTTTGGGGCTATTGAGTGATCATCAACTAACACTATCGGAAGTCGGATGAAAAATGCCATCAGTATCCATCTTGTCTTCTAAAGAGTACGCCGAGAAAGCAGTGGCAAACTTGGCTGACCGAAGAAGGCCATGTCATAGAAGAGAAGAAACTTCTGCTCATCAGCTGGCCACAGTTAAGACAAGTTCTGGAAAGGCCGCTGCTAACTATCCCCCAACAATTAATATTTCATAGCAGTAATGATCGGCTAGACGGCTACAAGCAAGAGAGCTCCGAGATGAGTTTAATCAACAAATTAGTCCAATGCATGCGTCACGGGATATTTTTACTTCCAGGGAGCTCCTCTATATGGCATCAGAATAATGAGCGTGGTAGAGAGCATTGGTTGCAGGCTCACCAAAGACCTTTTTTGACCAACGAAAGTGCCAGAAGGTCAACTTGAATCTCAAACAGATATCTTCTTTGGCGAATACACTATTCATGTGACTAATGTAAGCCTTTGGGGGCAGACCCATGAAGCCTGTTCTATAAGTATGCTGGCTTGGAGGAGGCTTCTTAGCTCCTTTCACGAAGGGTGTCAGTATATTATCCAGTGTCAGATATCACCATTAGAACAGCTTTCTCAGCGCTTGCCTTTTGGTCATTAACGCAAGATTTCATTGACTTTGCCTACATCTCGATAGTTGCCCTCGAGAGTTTCGGCCTTGTCTTCAACAGACACGCTGGCGAATAAATGACATTGTACCCAGAAATCACAGATATACTTTTGCAATTAAAGTTCGGCTGAGCATGGTCTACATGGTAATTTACACGACGTACTTGAAACAGCCTGGGATTGCCTCCATCTCATGAATAGAATGTCAAAGCTCAAAATAGCATAGCTCAGGTAAACGCGGGGTAATTGGTGCAGTAGGCTTTTTGGCACGTAGTTGTGGTTTGTGTGAAGTTACGCAACCTAAGTTACCTAACATGAACTCTAAAGTTTGGCCTGGAATGTCGTGTCGAGAACGAGAGAAATTTGATGAATTAGGCAGGGAGGAAATATAGGATATCACGAAGCGCGACGTGTATTCGCACGATGCTTTCTTCGCATTATCTTTACCCCTCTTGTGCCTAAGACACCTGATGTCATCTGAGTGGATGGCGTCATGGGAGCTCCTTGATTCGCCTGAAGAAAAAGCTGGCAGCTTAACGGAAATACAGTGACGTTTCGAATTACATCAATACACTTTTTTCGACTGGTATGACATTCATCACTTCCATCGATAGCTCAGTGTTTGATTTCGCTCATCATCTTGTTGCCCGCTGCCATCTTGTCCACAATCAATCATGTCTGTATCACTAGCTTGGCAGCCAGACAACTTCTGTGGCTTGACCCCTCACCAGCTCGAAGTCCTGTATGAGCCTATCATTCTCGAGTGTGCCTTGCGAGAGGTTGGACCGCCGCCTACTTATTCACACGAGAGCCAGTCAACCGAAAAGTATGAAGCGGAAATGCCAGACCTCAAAGCATTCCAATTCTACGTCAACAAACTGGCCCAGGTTTGCGACAACGAGCGCGGTGGGAATACAATCAGCGCCCTTGCAATACTGCAAGGCTCTCTTGGGCCTCATTACGTATTTGGGTCGAACAGGAAGGATGCAAGAGGACTAAAAACGACAAAGAGCTTTGTACAAGTGTTACTAGATCTTGTGGGGAAGAACCCGGAGAATTTGCAGAACGGGGCGTTAGTAAAACGAGTGCTTTGGCTCATACTAGCCTTTAATCTTCCACGGCTGGCAGAATACCTGACACATCTGAGCGCAGCGGTGCAAGAGTGCCTTGAAAGCTGCAAAAGGAAGAAAGAAGACGAAAGTAAGACTCATCTCGATATCATTTTCATGGAAGGGAAACCGCATGCTAAACCTTTCAGCTTCCGAGCCAACCCAGAGCCTCTTATCTTTGTTAGACAAGTGTGAGTTCAATATAAACTTCTCCAAATCTAATACAGAGAATAAGTGTAAGTATTCCCGTCCTGTGAAGCGTTCGACCGACGTGAGAATAACTTGTCAACTTAGCAATCAGCGACTGTGAAACATTGATCAAGGCGATCATCAACCTAGAGCAAGCGGATATCCACAAAATGATCTCACAGAGGGCCAAAGATGCAGAAATGACAAGATCCGAGCCATGGTGCAAACTCAGGCACTTTCTTGGGCGCTGGTTGTCTTACCGTAAAGCAGCTCTTGCCATCGTCGCAGTTTCTGAGAGATGGCCCGAGCTGTTCCTGGATTTTGAGATTACTATGGTGCCATCTGGTTCACGGCTTCCGAACCCGATTCTAAGATCCGATCTCACGAGCGCAATCATCGTGCAAAATATAGCTGCGCAAGAAAAAAGCCAAGACTCGCAGCTCCTGCAAGGAACTGAGGGCCTGGAACAAATCGGCATTGACGATATTATTCGGGCTTCTCAAACTTCCCGAAACTTTAGACCCTTATTACATGCGGAAGTCCTGGTGTATGAACATCTTTCGAAGAGTGGACAGACGGCTGTGGAATGCTACTGGAATCGCTGGAATTACATCGGCAGTAGTAAGCCTACGTGCCGACTATGCCATTACTACTTTGAAGCCCTGCAGGAAGACAAGCCGGGCGTTCGCCCGACTCACAATAACCTGTATCGAAATTGGCGACTTCCCGAATGTGACAACGACGAGAGCCTCGGTATAGCTCAAGATGAGCTTCTAAACAAGCTTGCGCAAAGGTTGAGAACGGACGTGATAGAAACGCTGAAAGAAAAGAAAACTGGGCGGAAAGCAAGAGACTCGAACACCTATTCGTCTTTTCCAGATCTTCTACGGAGGGACGATAACAGCTCTGTATCTATCGACAGCCCTGATAGAGACTCAACTGCATCGACAGACAAGCAAGATGAGAGCACAGTACCACTAGAAGACGCAACCGGCACTATGAATTTGGGCGACAGTTACAAATAGTTGGTAGAATATTCGAGACACAATGCCACAAACTTAAAATACAACGTGCAGTCTCTTCGAGCTGCCCTTCTGCCCTTTTCGCTTATTGCTTTCATGATTACTGTGATGAGCAGCTTCCACAAAACTCGATTTTACCCCCTTGTATTCTGCTCGACTGTGAGAGCAACAGCTTTCGCTTAATACATGTCGAGTCTGGAACTAGCCAGATGATGAGAGAATGGAATTTATGGAAGGAATGCGCCATACAAACAACAGGCCTAATAAGGGCTTCGCAGACCGTCATCAGTGTCAATCTTGGAAAGAAAAGGTTGATGGTACTTAATCCAGGTCTTCTGACTATTTAAGACTTTTCTGGATAAGGGCTCCTCGACAATCTGTTGTTTCTTCCTCTATGTTGCTTACGGAAGACCTGCAAAGGTAACGTGGTTAGGCAATTTCTTTTGCATCATCAGCTCGAATTTTTGTCAGATTCACTGGTGGTCAGAGGAGAGAAAAGACAGGTCGAGTTGAAAGGAGCATAATGTCGCTGTCTTCCATCGGATCAGGTGTCGATCCGCAGGTGACGGGATGCATTGAATAGCGTTGCCGTGAATAGCCATTGGGTTAGGATAAAAAGATTAAGAAGCTACTTTCTTTGTGACCAGTCGAACATTGGTACTGAGGTAGCCCACTAACAAATGGCCTGATGGATCACACTGATTGGCTGGGATCGTCACAAAGCTGGTTCCGGGTAAGTCGTGAAAATGCAGCTGGCAGTTTGGCAGCACAAACGCCCGACTGATAAAATATGTCTTGAATATATTGAAAGTTGATTTAACTTATAGGAAACTGATTTACATGATCTAAGTAATATTCCGGCATATTTAATCAATTGGATTAGATTTAGGGAAATGCTCAGTTCTGACTTATAGCTATTTCTTTTCAAACTATCGCACCAACACTTGTGAGCCAGACCTTTTATCCGAAATGATAAAATTCCTACACTCTATTGATTGCAGTAATGAGCATCACTATCTGCCCCATGCTATAGTGAAAAGTTTGATTCCCTTACTTAATCTTCCGCATTCAATATAACCGTCTCGTCAATAAACTTCCAAGCCTTAGTTCGTCTCTGAAACAAAACGTTTAACTCGGCATATGTGCGATCCTTTGTCTCCGGAATACAGTGCAACGTGAAGATCAGGGATAGAAAACAAGTTCCAGCAAAGAAGAAGCCCGTTTTGGCCCCCCAAGCCCAAGCCCCCGGGTTGAGCATGTAAGGTGTGATGACATTGCTCACAATATTGAGCATGTTGTAAGTCATCCGCGCTAGCACAACCGTCTTACTTCGAAGCTCGGACGCAGGTACCTCTGAGACGAGGGCATAGCAGATCGGGCCAACAGTAATATCATACACAAGGGTATACAGAATAAGCATGCTTCCAATAGCCCAGCCCATGACAGAAGTGGTTGGTCTTGTACCAAGTCCTCCCATAACCAGAAGGCATATCTCAAGACCAGCTAGACCCCAGATATACATAGTTCGTCGTCCAAAATACGGGAGCATTAGCCATGAAATCCAGACACCAATAATGCCAAGTGCATACTGGATCAGACTCATGTTGAAGGCTTGAGTAGTTGGAAGCCCTGCTTGGTGATAGAAGTAGGTTGCATATGTTCGCAGTCCGGTGCCAGATAGAATCTGGATTCCCCACGTACAGCACGCAATCATCGTTCGACGCCGATTAACACCGCGGAAACAATCTGGATAATGCTTTCCAGTGCCAGCCTCTCGCTCCTGGCTCACTGTAACCTCCATTAGCTTCACCATATTATCAAGGCTTTCGGCCGGAGTGGTTCGAGAATCGACAAGACGGCGGAGGTTGGTTTTGGCATCGGCGATACGTCCCTTTCTAACGCACCACCAAGGGGACTCGGGCGCGAAAGAGATAGCGATGATGAGTGGGACGGGCCAGATCCACTGTATGGCGAAGGGGATTCGGTATGCCCACTCGTCAGTACGAGTGGCCATTGCGCGTAAGACGCCGGCGGAAAGAAACTGTCCAATGACCTATTGATAGTGTTAGCTACGTCCAGTATGACAAATCGAAGAAACTATACCCAGCATAGATTCACATAGGTTGTGAGGTAGCCACGGAGATGAACAGGGCAAACCTCAGCAGCATAAGCCGTCGTCAATGTCTGAAAGACGCCCCAAGGAATGCCCTGAAAGATTTGTCCAACCAGAAGAACTTCAACGCTTGGGGCGAAGAAGGGAATGAAGATAGCTGCTGTCATGAAGATAAGGGACAATAGCATAGCCTTGTTAAAGCCGAGATGCTCTGATATATGACCGTTCAGATATAAGCCAATAAGGGATCCAACTGATGCACCATTGGACAACCCAGCTTGCCATGCAGCAGTGATCTGATAGTCACCGTTTGGAAGCTGATGTCCGTATCTTCTAGTAAAGGCAGGCTGGGCATTGAGTGATCCGATGAGTTTCATGTCGTATCCCTCCATAATGATTGCGGTGGAAAGGAGGACTGACCAAGCGACGGCAGCCCGATGCTGTTTGATCGACTGGAGGAACGTAGCTCCGCGTTCCTCTTCAGCTGCGCGCTGAGCTTGGTGCAGATCATCTTGCATGGTGCCTTTGGAGGATTCGCAATGGTCGATGCGTTCTTTGACGTCTCCATTCTCATCGGCTTTGGCAGATTGGAAAGTCATTGTTGTTGATATCAATGAATAGATAGAGTCTTGAAAACACAGGCAAGATAAATGGTTATGCTGTTCTGAACAATCATCTCCTTATAATGGATCTACATGGCCTTATATAAGAAGATTAATAGTTGTAGTAATCATAACCCCAGCCGAAGATCACAAAGACAGTTTGGGGATCCCCATGGGGATCTGGGGAAAAGTAAGTTTTGGAAAACTAAGCTGGAATAGGTGGCTCAGCCGAGCTAGCCGAGCTGTCGACTGCAAGCGGCAATTTTGGCGAGCTATCAAGCGATCTAAGCGAGATACGCTGAAGAAAACCTCTCGCTACTCGCCACTTCGCTCAAGTGACTACTCGTTTATGATTCCTATTGGCCAGTGTTAGCAATAAAGAAATATGTGGCAATGGCCTGTCGCTTCGATCGGATGCTAAAATGTTATCCCATGTGATAGTGAAGCTATCAAAATACATAAAATGGAAATCACCATTGTCAAGAACATCCCTTCAAATTAATGGAGACGCTAAATGCAACACGATTCATGAGATCCTACCCACTCAGGTCTCCTTCTTTCCCTTTGTCGTCGTCATGACCAACAAGATTTACCACCACGAGCCAGTCTGGTGGAAGCAAGGTGTCGTCTACCAAATCTACCCTGCATCCTTCAAGGACAACAATGGCGATGGTGTCGGCGATATTCCCGGTATTATTTCCAACCTCGACTATATCCGAGACCTCGGCGTCGACATCATCTGGGTTTCGCCACACTATAAGAGCCCCCAGGTTGATATGGGGTACGATATTTCCGACTTTCAAGATATCCACGAGCCCTATGGCACGCTAGACGACTGCCAGCGACTCATACAGGAAATCCATGACAGAGGAATGCGAGTCATCTTCGACTTGGTAATTAACCACACGTCTGATCAGCACCCTTGGTTCCTCGAATCGCGATCCTCTACTACAAACCCAAAACGCGATTGGTATTTTTGGAGACAGCCAAAGATCGATAGCGACGGCAACAAGTGCAGACCTAATAATTGGAGAAGTCAGTTCACGAAGCCAGCCTGGACCTTTGACGACGTGACTGGAGAATACTATCTTCATGTCTACGCTTCCGGCCAACCAGATCTGAACTGGGAGAGCGAAGCTTGCCGACGCGAGGTCTATGACAACGCGATCAGATTCTGGCTTAACCGCGGTGTAGACGGATTCAGAGTTGATACCGTCAACAAGTTCTCCAAGGTTTCTGGTCTACCTGATGCCCCGGTTGTCGAGCCTAACGAAGAAACACAGACTGCTGTTTGTCATTATGCAAACGGTCCTCGAATCCACGAATATCTCCGTGAAATGAAACAAGTCATGGTACCCTACGATGTCATGACAGTGGGCGAATTGCCGAATACGCCGGATCTCCACGATGTGTTAAAGTACATTTCGCCTGGCTCTGAGCCTGGGTCTCAAGAGATTGACATGGTCTTCAACTTCGACACAATGAACCTGGGACAGACACCAGGCAATAGGTTCTTGCCCGTGCCCTTCGATAACAACGACTTCAAGCGCTGCTTGACAAAGTGGCAGAAGCTTCCGGAGACAACAGGTGCCTGGACAACTGTGTTTTTGGAGAACCATGACCAGGGCAGATCAGTATCACGCTTTGCATCAGATCTTCCCGAGTTTCGGGAACGTGCTGCCAAGATGCTTGCAACTGTTCTTGCAACCATGACGGGAACGTTGTTTCTGTACCAAGGCCAGGAGATTGGCATGATCAATGCACCTGAGACCTGGTCCGCGGATGAGTACAAGTGCGTGCGATCAGCCAACTATATCCAGGATGTGCGCCAACGCACTAACAATGATCCCGATGCGATTAATGAGGCTACGGAGAATCTCCGGCGTGTTGCCAGAGATCACGCCAGGGTTCCAATGCAATGGGACAACACGACTAATGCTGGTTTTACGAGCCCTGACGCAGTGCCATGGATGCCTGTTCTTGACAGCTATCGCGAGATAAATGTCGCAAATCAGCTTGGAGATAAAAACAGTGTTCTAGGGTACTGGCGAGAAATGATCAAGCTTCGGAAGAGGTTTTCGTCACTCTTCGTGTATGGGACCTTTACTTCTATCAATGAGCATCGGGATTTGCTGGCTTTCATCAAGACTGACCCAAAGACTGGCGCTAGAGCGTTGACGATTGCGAATTTGTCACAGTTGGACGTTTCTGTACCCAAGATCGAAGGCTGTTCACTTGGATCTATGCAACCTTTGATGACTAACTACACTGGCACGGTCGCGGAGTCGGTACTCGGACCTTACGAAGCGAGGGTTTACCTCTTGGCTCACAACTGACACTTTGATAGGAATTCTCGTAATAAATGTATTTAAAGAGCAGAATCACAGATACTATCATCATTTACATATATGGAGGTACAGTTCCAAACCTTTCTAAGCAGAAGTATCGTGAATCAACCCGCTCGCTCTTTTTCAGCTGCTCCCTGCCCACGCCAGATGCAAGGTCTGTAATCACTTTAGAATTCCACCACGGATCTGATATGCCCTTCAATTTGTCCAGCACCCAGTCTAGTTCTGTAGCATCCGTGATTTCGACGCCATACATGAATAATGGCCATATAAACGCCGGATGAAGAGCTTGTCCCTCGGGAACGCGCACAATACCTTGTCTGATAGCTGCTCGTGCGTTAAGGATCGGGGATGAAAGAGGTTGAGATCTGCCATAGGCGCGCGCGTGGTATATAAGCTCGGCATGATAGCATATGCGGCACAGAATAGCTACGAGCTTCAGTTCGGAAACTGGACTGCCGTCTCCACCCCCCCAGTCTCCCTCGTCTATGACCGCGTCGATAAAGACAGGACGACCCTGCCATAAGTATTGAAGCTGCTCTTCCAATGTTTGAGAAATGTTGTCGACGTCCGTCTCGTCTTTCAAAGTACCTCGTGATCGATGGTGCCGATTGAGACAGGACACTTGAAGGCTGATATCTTGCAACTCAAAGTAGAAGTGAAAAAGAGCCTGCTGAATTGCATCGTTGGCAGCATCATTCATACTAATATGTCCGACTCGTAGATGCGTTAATGATGAAATATGGTGACTTTTCCGAAGTAACGTGATGACCTTTGGGCTGAGTATGCCCCGTCCTCCTAGATGCATGGCTTTAGTATGGAAAAGATATAGCCACAAGATTATCCTTCGCGCCAAAGGAGACCAAGTTTGAGGCTCTGCACATTCCTCAAGTCGCTTTATTAGCATGCCTTCTTGTTTCAGAAGTGTTGGTATCGTTTCTTGTTGGACAACAACTTCAAAACACGACAGCAAGAAGGCTGTGAAGAGAACAAATTCCATATCAGATGTTAGGTCATCTTGCAGAGATAGGTAGAGAGTCTTCGCGGCGAAGTATTGTGATAGGCCGGGAGATACATCATCGCCATCCAGAAGACTTTTGTATAGTGTTTCAACAGCCTGTATCGCCGCCGCAATCGCTGGAGTGGTTGTTGCCAATTGAGCTAGATAACCCTTCGCAATACACCAGTTGAACGAGTCCCACAGGGCTATGAAAGGCGGGTCAACCTTGGATAAAAAGAACGAATAAGTTGAACTGGGATTTGGGAAGATGTCGCTTGGGAGGGACCTCTGCTCTGGACTTCTTTGTAGTAGAAGATGCTGTGCTTCTGCCCCGAAGCTAGATGCTGGAAACGGATCGCCCCATTCACCCCAAGAAAAGTCGGGATAGCCCGCATCTCCATCAATGAGAGGGTCTGATATATGCGGAGTTATAGGACCATTGGGACTCGGCTCGTCAGCCTCTCCGTCTTCTGTGGGCAAACTAATACGGCAGTTAGAATTACTCGGAGATTGCCACTGAGCTTCGGCGCCGCCATTGAAACAATGCTCCGCTGGAGGACTCTTCTGTGAATAGCCTATGAATTGCGGTGGCTGGTACACGCAAGCCTTGTTGACGCGTTTACAATTGTCGCAAAAGGGCTTTAACTCGTCGCATTTCACTTTTCTTGTTCTGCAGGTCATACATCCTGTCCGAACCCGGGTTCTGCGTGATGGAGGCATATGAGCAAGAACGGAAATGTAGATTCAGTAATAAGATAAGTTAGTGGATAAAAATATCATCTCACGGTCTTGGAGATTCTGTCATGAGTGAGCTGAGAATAACACGTGCTAAAAAAAGCCTTTAACAAGAGAGTGCGCTAAGCTAATTTAAGGGCGCGTTACGTAAAGTTATGGAGAATTTCTGTCTACATATTCATGTAACGTATGTGATAAGCGAGCGAGACAGACAAGCAAGCGAGACACCCCACTTTGCACCTTAAAGGTAGGTTTTTAAAAGCTTATAAAACTTTCAATTTAGGGTTAAAATAGCTAAGAATTTAATAGCTTATATATAAGTATTAAAATAAACTATATTAATTTTCCCGGATCTTTAAAAAAAATTCTATATAGCTATAAACTTTAAAATCTATTTATACTGTAAGATATACTATATTATAAGGTTTTTTATACAAAATAAAATAGCTATAAATTTTTAAAAAATATTATTTAATAAAGCTAACTATGCTATTATATAAAGTATTTTTGTTAGGAATTGGTTATCTTATCTACCGGCGCAGGAAATACTACAGCCAAAATCACGGTGTGGTAGCGCCACCACCACCAGTGGCTGTGAGTGATACAACAGGCTGGGCGTCCCCTCTATCTCCGTCCAACACCAGAGGTCAGGCTTGCCCTGCAAGTCCCCGTCTGAACTGACGAGTGACCAACGGTCGCCTGACATACATCAGAGGATGACTCTCAAGAATGAACTTCAGGTTACTGGGGTTGGTGATGACCCGCGGATACTGATTTTAAAACTGCTCATTGTTCTTCCCAATGCAGACAAACTTTTTACATTCCCGACATTCAGCCATGCCCTCTCATAGAATTACAATAGTGTGGCCTGATTATTTCACTTACTGTAGCAACAACCCCGCGTCCGCCTACCTTATGCATGTAGTAAGCTGAAAAAGAATGTTGGGTTGGTAATTAACTCAGGGCCACTCAGATGCTGGAGCCGCGTTTGTTGGAAGAACATTGGTGCAAAAAGTCATACGACTAATGCTGCAGGAGGCCCACCAGACACGTGGTGAAGATAGCTTCCGTGAGGGGATGGGGCATAGCCGCCTTATATATTAACAGGAGAATCTTTCTCGTATTTACTTTAGTCTTTCAATATGCTAGTATGGATTGAGAGTTAGAGCTTATGACACCAAGGCATAAGGGATAATTCTTTTTCATTCTCCAGCTCCATCTAGAAGATGGAAGCGCACCAGAGACAGATTCAGGCAATGGCTACTATCGATGGAATTCCTGCTGACAGCAGAATGTCTTCTTCAAATCCATACAGAAAGCAAGCTAACGTTAACAACATACGCTTCAACAACGACCATCGGCGTTCGCTTCATCTTGTAACATCTACCCCCGATGATGATAATCGATATCATGCATACTCTGACGAGCCACAACTTCCGAGAAGCTTCGAGGAAGACATTTCTCCATCATCTTCAATTATAGATGCAATGGAAGAGCTTTTTATAGATTACGGTCAGAGCGAAACACGGAACAACACAGCTAACCCCAAATATGATCAGCTGACTCGGTCTTCGGTCATGCGAGACTGTGACATAAGAGCTCATCATCCTGAAGAAGCAGGTGACAAGATCTCCAAGGGAGTCACACTGACAGAACCTTTCGGTTTCATATGGCGTATGCCTTTCCTTTTATCATGCAGCAGTGTTATGTACAAACACTAATCATAAACCAGCGAAATGCCCTACAGAGATGGAGAACGCACCGATGATAGTCAAATGGGAAGTTTGCCGTGTTGCATGCCACTGTTCTTTGACTTTAGAAGGCGTACCCCTGAAGTATCTCTCACAATGGAGAGATCAGGATGTTTTCTGGAAAGCCCTGAAACAGCACAATTGCTTCCGTCATAAAACTTTGCCAGCAAAGTGTGATAGAGAAGTATGGGACCAAGGCCATGGACAGGATATTAACACGGAAAGAGCTGTAGAGTATAAGGCCAGGCTGCACTTTGACGATCCAAACAAAGAACCAATGCTGGAGCTTGAAAAACCTGTATCTGAAAAAAGCTCCCGACTTCGTCGAAAATTTGGGTTCAATCGTTTTACAGAACTCCAGCTGCTCTTTAGCGATAAATGCGCGACAATCATTAAAAACAAAGACAAAAAGAGAGCACTAGCCAGATGGCTAGTCCAAGAGCGACATCTATTTCTGACTCAGGAATGGGTAGCATGTTTCATCGAGGAAATACAATCAAGAAAAGGGAAATTCGGCTTAGTCGCACCTAAGAAAACCGGCAAGCGCGTTGTTTTGTTCGCAGAGCACGTGAAAGGATTCAACATTGGCTCTAATATGCCTGCAAAGGCTAGTCTGATCAATCGTCCATCAGCTTCCACGTCAGTTGATTCATTTTGCGACAGGTATGATGTACTGGACTGGCTTTTGCAGCTTGATTCCAACGCAGATCAGCCTTATATTAAGCTCTTTCATCGAATTTCGTTAGGTAACATCGCATTTCCCTTTGTATATTCTTAACTAGTATCACTGCTAATACACCATACACCTATGTTATAGGCCTAAGCAAAACAACTCCAACTGTATTGCTCATGGAGAAGTCTATTCGGTGCATACATACAGATGTTAAATCTTCAAACGGTACGCCCATGAACGACGGCATCGGAAGAATTTCTCAGCTGCTTATGAGAGAGGTGCGGGATGTCATGGGTCTGGACTTTCTCCCAGCAGCAATTCAAGCTAGGATTGGTGGGGCGAAAGGGCTCTGGATGATGGATCTAAGTCCCTATTCCCCAGATGAGCGCTGGATCGAGATATATCCATCGCAGCAAAAATGGAATTGCAACTGGTCAGATCCCGCCCATCGAACCTTGGATGTAGTTTCCGTTTCTTCTTACACGGGACCAGCCTTTCTGAATCTCCAATTCGTTCCAATCTTGGAAGAGCGAGCAGTTGATCGAAAACTCATGCGGACAACTATTTGCCAACGCATAGATGAGCATCTTCGTAACGACTTGGACAATGCCAAAGCAGCCATAGAAACACCGGAGGTCTTTCGAAAGTGGATCCATGGAACTTCCTACACCACATTTGGTGACAGGCAAGATGGCACATCATGGTTTGTGGGAGGTTTACCTTCAAACTGGCCTGGGATAATGAGCTTTCTTGCTGACGGCGGTTTTGAACCAACGAGGCTCGAGTTCCTCAATAGTATGATGTTCGATCATCAAAAAGACCGTTGGAAACATATGGAAACCAAGCTTCATGTCAAGATTGCCAAGTCAACTTCGGCATTGATGACCATCGACTTCCAGGGGGTCCTGGCGCCAAATGAGGTCCAGCTGTGCTTTTCACCGGCATTTGATGATGGACAACAGACCCTTGATGACCTTGGTGGATTTAGCGTGCTTGTTGGCCGCTGCCCAGCACATCTACCAAGCGATATTCAAAAGGTAAATGCTGTGTTCAAGCCAGAGCTACGACACTTCAAAAATGTCATCATATTCTCTTCTTTAGGCGACGAGCCACTAGCAAATAAGCTTTCAGGGGGGGATTATGACGGAGATAAGGCATGGGTTTGCTGGGACCCAGACATAGTCGACAATTTCAAGAGCACTGATATGCCTTCGCCGCAAAATTTCGAGCAGTACTTCCAGCCCAACAATCAGACGTTAGGAAGTCTAGCATCCCGATACGGAAAGCCTCGCTATCTGGACATGTTTTTGGAAGAAGCCTTCGACTTTCATCTTAACCCCTCTTTCATGGGCATTTGCACAAGCTACAAAGAAAGACTAGCTTATCATGAGAGCAGTATTGGAAACGAGATAGTCGTCAAACTGAGCTTGCTTTTAAGTGCGCTCGTGGACCAAGAGAAAAGCGGATTCGAATTTGACGACAATATTTGGTGTCGTATCAAGGAAGAGCTGTGTGGTGGCAAAATGTTCCTGAAAGCTCCAAGCTATAAAACCGACAACCTTGCAGCTTTAGCTACCTCCAACCATATTATTGATTTACTCAAACTTAGAATACACCAGCGGATACAGGACGCGATCACAGAGTTTTGTGATTACCAAAAGTGTTCTGGCATTGGATACGATAAACCACTGCTCACCACGTTTGATCCAGACCTTGTTAGGTATTGGAACGATTTTGAGGACCAAGCAAACCAGATAACATCACTATTCGATCCATCTTCCTGCTGGTTCAAAGACTTTCGGTCAAGTCTCATCCAAGAAATAGATGAATGTAGGACATATTGGGGGGAGGTGATGTCTGGCAAAGAACACTACCTGACCAAGGTCATCCCTGTTCATGAACGGTGGAAAGACATCTTACCGAATATCGAGAGCGACTCGCTAGTTGCATCTCTGATGGCATCCTCACTCAAAAATGGGGTAGGTCGCTCGAAAGAGTTAGAACCGTGGGATCTTCTCAAAGCTAGTCTCACCTTTAAGAGGCATCATCAACATGCCAAATTCGTTTGGCAAATAGCAGGTCGGCAATTACACTTTATCAAAGCATGCAGAGGAAGGAGCGATGATGAGAATGGTGTACTTCCACCGATTCCTGTGGTTTCGAGGATGTACAGAATCCTGCGTCCAGATACAAGACGAGTTGAGAGGGTCCTTGCTGGTCAAGAAGAGGATTTTGAGGATGCTCAGTAATAGGGATTGTAGTTAAAATTATCAGTGTGTGTCCCCAAAGCCCTGTTAGATCCGAAAAATGAAGATACTGTCATTATTTCACGAACAGGAGGGATCCCGTGTGAACACACTTAGAACATAAGTTTAGATCAAAGTAAAACTACGAAAGAACAAGTCAAGTTTGAGATTAGAGGATACACTAGATATATAAAAACATTTATCGCTAAATAAAACCAGAGAGTGTTATGGATTTGGAATTGAGGATAGTAGAGAGATCGAGAAACTGGACCAAGTGGAACTGAGACAACCTCTCCGTATTTAGTGTTTATATGTATTTGAACCCTTGGCATCACTTTTATGAATGTGCTCCCTAAAATTAGGTTTCAAGCCGCATGGGCCTCAGGAAGAATCCATAAACACCTGATTTCTGGTATAGAGTACAACGACAGTGAATCCAAGCTTGAGCCTCTCGGAAGTTACCTCTCCAAACTTGGCTAGTCTACAAAGCAATGGGAATATTCAATCTTTGACCAAGAGTGTTATACCAAGCAAAATCTCCGCAGTTCTTATCTCACCCAAGAAAGCCCCATACCTCCAAGGACGATGAGAAATTCCATCCTCAATTTGGAAGATATCATGATCGACGTTGCCTTCGTCAGGTAAGTTTTCAAACACCGGAAATGCTACCTCGTGCCAAAAGTAAACACATTGCCGATTGATATACTTATTTCGGTCGAAAGCCAGTCTTTAAAGTCACCGTCTTTCATGTTGATTTACTCTACTGTGGATACCTACTCTTTGTGGTCAAGCTATGAGAAACCTACCGAGATAAGTCATTGAAGAGCTTTTGTAGCTTCCTCCCCTCCCGGCTGACATGTAGATTGATAAGCATGCAGGGTAGTAATTCTCGCTCTGCGACTGTCCTGGCGCTTGCCTGATCTCTGTGTTTCATGGCGATCCAGAACGCATCGCAATAAGCCCGAGGGACGGTCACATCATTGATCTTCTCATACGCAAGCAGGTAATAGCCTCTGTACGCGCTGGAGCATCTTGGACGGCGCCTGAATACCGCCGATCCATCGTCGATGGAGTGATCAAGTGCCTGAATCTCAATCAAGCTTCGGTCACTCATTTTGCGCCCAGTGGGTGACAGAGAACAGTGGCCACAGATACAAGTAAAGATGACCAGACTCATAATCCCCGAGTTTTCGCACATATATGATTGTGATCGTTGAACCAGTATCGATTTCTTGGTAGCAGGGGTTCTATAGCAGAATTGAAATCACATCAATAATGTGAAACCTCTTGATTATCTCAGAACATATCGGTTTCCTGCTCTTCTATTCCTAATTGCCATGTACCCCTGTTTATGTCCGACCTATTTCCATATAATCCATTCCCCAGCAACTGATTTGTCCCAGTTCGATCGACGATGTGCATACACGACACTCACGCTTGGGAACACCTACTTTAGCTTTGATACGTCACCCACTTCTTTACTGTGATTTCAATCCGAAGTTTCTTGTCAATAATCATTACGAGTTCGTGGTACCGACCGGCTAGTCGAGTGTAGCCTACTTCCACTATAGGACTTAAAGATCTCTTTTACTATGATCCTTCTTGATCGCAAAGGCAGTCGATAGATGAAGTTTCAATTTTAACCCTAACCCTCACTCTCGAGATCCCGTCTTTCTTTTCCCACCTAGACCCCATCAAAAACCAAAAGGCTTTGAATACTGATATCACCAAAGCCATGATGATATAGTAGTTCTCGGCCGTGGTGAACTGGAAATTCAGCTACAACCATGATGCTGATGTTCTCATTACCAATACCTGCTTCAGCCAACAGTTGAAGCACTGCATAAAGCGTCTTTCCAGTGGCAAGTACGTCGTCTATTACGACCACTGATGCGCCCCTAGGAATCAAATCTTGACTCATCTCGATTCTCTTCCCTCCTACATCCTCAGCTTCTGAGCCGGAGATATGTGATGAAGGCTTTTTGACAGAGACGGTGGGCGGGGGGAGCTTCCCGGCTTCGCGGATTAGCGCCAAGGGGACGTTGACTTGCTGGGCCAACGCGGATGCATACACGAAGCCTCCCGCTTCGCAACAGGCCACCGCTCCAACTTTACCCCAATCACCTTTGAACTGAGTCCGTAACAGAGAAGTGCACAAAGCCAACCCGCCCTGCCGTTGGGCGACGTTCAGCACATGTCGGAAACTGATGCCTGGGCGTGGGAAGTCGGGCACAGGGACCACCATAGTAGCTAGTCGCTCCAGGTCCTTATGGAGGAGGGGAAGCAGGTACTTATCCGCAAACCTTCTGGCGCCGTCGTCTCCCGTCGCTTCATTGTCGAAGACAAGACTGTGGCGGTAGTTCAACATCGTTGAATTCGACTTACAATTACTACCATTGCTGCCACGATCGTCATTGTTGCAATGATCATGTAGATTTTTTGCATTGACTCGGCACTTCCGGCGAGCTTGTCGCGTCTTTTCACTAGCTGTGACGCGAATGTCAAGCAATCTGCTGTTCGGAACTAAATGCGACAAGGTTGCAGTCGGTGCCTCATCTCTCATCCCGGTGATTACCAGTACATCCGTATCTGTGGCGCCGGACACCACATTCAGGAAGTGCTTCTCGCGAAGCCGAGGTTGTTGGCGCATCTGTTCCTTGAAGAATGCCGTCAATGCTGGTCTGTGTTGTTCCTTGTAAGCGCGATTCACCAACAGAGCATTCAAGTCTGCACCGGTAGCTGCTGCGTATTCTCCCTTGGTGGTATCGCTGATGCTGGCCTTGCGTGCCTTGCAGTGTTTGTGGGCATATCTAGTAAACATGGAGACCCAAATATCAGCGCAGTAGTCTTTACCAACCCCGCTTTCTCCCGTAACAAGAATAATAAGTTTCTGTTTTATTGGCGGTGTTGGGAGCGGACAGGCGTAAGCCAACACCTTGCGCGGGTCTAGGGTCTCCTTAAGCCAGGCCAGGCGCGGTCCGTTTGGTCCGAAGGCCATGGCGGCTAGCGGCATATCTCTGGGATCCGGCCCAAGGTCCGCACGGTAAGCTCCGCTGCTCAAAGGCAATAAGTCTCTGGCCACATTATACACCCATTGCACGGCATCTAGAGCAACTTCAGTTCCGCCTTGGTCACGAGGCCAGACAGCAGTTATCACACAGGCAAAATCCCAGTCTCGACAGCCGAAAGCAGTAGCATCATCGGCTACATCGCTGAGCGCCCCACCTCCTTGAAGCAGATGAATGTAACAGAGCGGAGACGGACGAGTCTCTATGGCCGCTAATAAGATGTCGGTGATGTCCACAGCCCCGATTTGTTTTAAGAATAAACACCGCTTGAATGAGGCCGTCTTGCCGCCACCATGTCCACCGTGCATGCCGGATACGTACATTTCGGTTTCGAATAGGCCGACGCCATCAACGGTCTCGAGACTAGCTTCCGGCCCCAATGATGAGTCTATGAGCGTATGCGATTGGGAAGCAACTTTAGTCGTAGCAGATTCGATCAGCGTCACGCCAAGATGTATCTGCGCGTTATTTGAATACAAATAGGCATCCGCGGAACAGTGCCGAGCCAGAGTTTTGGTACACTGATCAAATTCGTGAAGCTTGAGCCGCGCTTCATGATCGTCTTTTAGGGGGATGGTCCAGTTCCGGACGCAATAGGTTCGGGCCGCATGAGCTTCAAATACAACGCTGACAATGATGCCAAAGTTGGTCCCTGCGCCTTTCAAAGCCCATAATATATCGCTCTCATCTTCTGACTTCATGGCACCGGCCGGTCGATACTTGCTTGGTACGCGACCGACGTATAGCACTTGACCAGAGGCAACGCTAACCATTACTGCACCCACGATGGCGTCACACGCAAGCCCGTGCAACCTGGCCAAGTGTCCAACGCCGCCCTGCAGCCAGAGTCCTGACCCTACACTTGGGCGGGCTCCCATAGGTACCGTCAAGCCTACTGCCATAGTTTTGCGGATGATGTCTCCAGTATTGCAGCCAGCCTCCGCGATAACCAGGGGTGTAGAATCGAGATTGGGTCCTTCTCCCTCCGTCTCAGTTATGACCGTGTGTACTTGATCAAAAGCACCCATGTCAATGGCGACAACGTTAGGCCAAAGGCACTGGCCGCTATGGCTTCCGCCTATAACAGTCAGACCAACGTTTTGTTCGAGGGCCCACTTCACGCACTGCTGGATGTGCTGAATCTGTTTCGGTCTAACAATCGATGCGGGACGGTGGAGGCGGGCTTCCTGGTTTTTAATTCTCCTGCCTTTATCCACCAATGGCATCTGTGCCATCAAGTCCGGCAATGTAATTGCATGTTTAGTAAAAGTGGCCATCATGTTGGGCGAACCGAACAAGAGATGGTCGGGGTGTGCCTTTTCACAACGACCCAGTGCGTGGCATAGCTCACGCCATTCGCCCCGAATAGCTTCGTCCATTTTCGCATCTGCGAAGGTGAAGCCCGCGATAAAAGAAGTAAATCGGTCCATTTTCTCATCATCGGTTGCTACCCGAACGACACCGGTAGGGAAAGACGCCGTGCTATGACACACCAAGCCGTCAAGGTTCAAGTCGCCATCACGATGGAACACCGCCACTATTCCCGGTTCTGGGTGTTCGTCAAGTGATTTCAGTGCCTGTTCAATAAACTTGCGTTTAGGTTTCATGCCGTACATGCTATGGCAGAATAAGACGACATCGAATTTCTCACCATCACTTGTCCTAACGCTTGTACCGCTTCTTGTGTTTTTGTTGTCATTGTCTGGTGTGAATGGCATCTGATGAATATCGGGCCGGCGTTCCAGGCATGGCAGAGGAGGCTCTGTTCCTGAGATGGGGTGAAACCAATCATCTAGTCTTATGGCAAACAAGTCGTTAGGCTCGAATGCAACATATCTCCTGACTTTGCGCCTGATATGATAGGGTAAGTATCCAACAACGCTCTTTGGGCCAGGTCCGATTTCTAGCAGCGAGATATAACCCCGCGACTTCAGTAAACGACGTAGGAGCGAAGAGAGTTGAGGAACAATAAATTTCTGGTATGTCGTTGTTTCCGAGCCTTGAAAAAGGACGTCGAAACCGGCGCTGTACTCCACGTGGGACAACGGCTGCGTTGCGTGCGGTGCTGTCGCCCTCGCTGTCTGCCTAAGGGCTTGCTTCAGGGTGTCGAGAGTGGCCATATCAGCTTACACGCTTTGTTGCCGGTAGAGATAATGGAGTATTATTGTGTATGGGTGACGGCTAGGTTTAGCTGAATTGTGTAGCTACGGAGCTGTTGCCGCTTCTTATCTGCCTCGATACTGGGTGTAATGGAAACGTCAGAATCTTTGGTTTATCGAAGAGAATGTCTCGATTTTTGACTAACCGGTCATTTACCTGATTTTGATTCTTATTCTTATGCTTTCTGTTATCAGGGAAAATCTTACTTCAGGAGTTAATGAGATGAGCAAGTCCTTGTTGGATGGTGGGTAGAACTTTGATGTCCGCGTTGGCGTTACGTTATCTTGGCAACGTTGATGTGTGGCCACGTCAGCCCCCTCATTATTCGAAAGGGTTTCAACTCTCCCTATCAACGAAGAACACGTTTACCGTGTGGTATGTTGAAGAGTTTGTGTGATCCCTTCCGCGAAAAAACCTGTGTCGGCCGGCCTCCCGCATGGCTTACCATGCAGGAGGCCGGATGTTCTAACAATACGTGGCGGTGATTCTCTTAGGCTGTTCAAGAGGGGCCGTATCAAAGTACATGGGGATTACATCCTGTCTACAAGACAAAAGTGCAACACATATTTCCGTGTATCATGCACCATTCCAATAGGTTTTACGCAATAGGAAATTGAAATTCATTTCTGCAGGGAACGGAGACAAAGCACTTAATGGAGAAGGGACCATTGACTGCCGTCAAATCCTAAGAGAATGTGACAACGACAGTTAACCTTTTACGAATCGAGTGAATAATTTATACTGAAAGCTGCCAAGATTGGAGCCTACACCTAGTGGCACAAAGAACATCAGCTCTTGAGTGTCAACATACTGCATTTCATCGTATCCATGCGGGCGAAAGCACCACATTCATGACACGAGCTATACATATCACCCGTAAGCATGGAGCAATTCAGTCCGAGTTAGACAGTTCTCATGCTCCATAGGAGGTTTATGGTGTCGCACACAACATATTAGCAGCCGGCCTCCGGCAGAAGTACAACAGAGTGACCATTTCGGAGAAGAGGTTCTTGAGCCAAATCCCCCAGATGTATGGGCTTGGATGACTGTAATTCACCTTTCATTCACATATAATGGTACATGTATCAGCCAGCTTCAAAGCTGATAGGGTGAAAGGAGAGACATGTATGGTTGCGAATGCGCTCTGTTTGATTAACAGCAGGTGAGAAGATAAACCATAATGGTACATCTACCCCCCGGTTCCTTTATCCGCCAGTTTACTTACTTAAGAAGCAGTCTTTCCGCAGGGTCAGTTTCATTTGTTTGTTTTCCAAGCCTTTCTAAGTCGCGGACTTTCACGTCACGTGGCGACAGAATTACTTCCATGAGATACCTTACCTAACACCTCTGTTCCCACTCGGTCTATAACAGTTCACATGGCTAGCTCCAAAAAGGGCAGCGTCCTTTCGAAGAGACGGGCCCCCAACGATGCTACTTCCCCAATCAGCGAGAATTCAACGCGAGATGGGCGCAAAAGACGGAAAAAACAAAAGGTCAGCAGCCTTGGGGCCATAGCTGACAGCAAGGTTTCGAGTGTCCCGGATCAATACAAGAAGTCGCCCGGCCCAATGACCGGTTCTAGAGATCCTTGTAAGTTATTATAGTCTTGCTTTTTACTGGGCCGTCTTGCGTCTATAGGTACAAGTTTCTTTGTATTGCCACTAATAGTTGAACTTCTCAGCGACCAAAAACATAACCCGTCAAGGAGATAGTCAAGAACAGGTTTCATTACGCCTAGAAAAGATGCAAGGTGCTGTGCGAACTCTGTTAGAGTGCATCGGCGAAGATCCCGGCCGTGACGGCCTTCTGGATACACCTTCGCGTTATGCCAAGGCATTGCTGTTCTTCACCAAAGGCTACCATGCCAATGTGGAAGATGTTGTGAATAACGCGCTATTCCATGAACGCCATAAGGAGATGGTCATTGTGAGAGATATCGACATATGTAGCCTTTGTGAGCACCATCTTGTGCCATTTACAGGAAAGGAAAGCTCTCTTTTCCATCAATATGTCCTGTACACTGGACTCTGAGATATGCCGGCTAATTCTTTCTTCTAGATGCACATCGGTTACATCCCCTCCAAAACCGTTATCGGCCTCTCAAAGCTTCCTCGAGTTGCCGAGGTATTCTCTCGTCGCCTACAGATACAGGAGCGCCTGACGAAGCAGGTCGCTGATGCCATTATGGCCATCCTCAAGCCTCAAGGTGTTGCCGTCATGATGGAGTCTAGCCACCTGTGCATGGTGATGCGTGGCGTTGAGAAGACCAGCGCCACAACTCTGACAAGCTGCATGCTGGGATGTTTCAAGCAGAAGAGGAAGACACGAAATGAGTTCATGCATTATGTCGGAGTGCCCAGATAAGATGAAAGATTTGGGACTACGGATTTATCACGACGGAATGGGATGCTAGCATTGATATGCCAGTTGCAAAACCACAAAGAAAGAGATTTTTAGATACTCTACTGTACTGACTACCACTGGTAATGGTGGAAGGAGTGCTCGCTATTGCTGGTCTACAGGCGTTAGTAGGCTGGAACCCCAATATTTAGAGTTTAAAAATTAAGATAGAATTATCTTTACTTTAATAAAAAACTACAGTTATAATAATATGTTCATAATGAGCTCCCTTGCATGATGCCAGAAACAAGAAGTAGGAGTACGAATAGGTCTTGATTCAGTATATTTCTTGCTATAAGGTAGAAGCCGTATAAAAATAGCAGGCATTAAAGCAGGGACTCAGGAAAATGTATAGCCTATTTTGCAGGGGCAATAGTTAACTTTAATATCTTAAGTACTTGAAATTTATAAAACTTTTTTTAATATAAAATATAACTATTTATAGCACTTTAATTTATAACTTCTGCTTCTATTAATTAATTACTATTAAATTATTTATAACTAAAGTAGGAAACCGTGGCTTCTATAAAAAGAAAAAGTAGCGAAGGCAGCAGGTTACATATAGAGCCAAGAAAAAGATAGATGTAGCAATAAAGGCTGGGAGCAGGGAGTAGGCCCGGACAAAGAGGCACCTACTGAGGTTGTCTTTATCTTCTGTATCAAGTCAGTCACGCAAAAGCTTGGATAGAAACAATTCAACAACCCTTCGCACCAAGTCTAATTCAGTGCTGCACATGGGCTATTGACTCCTGAGAATAGTGCAAGATATTAATTCAACAGTGCTTTTTTTGGCCTCGGTTCAATGTTTAAAGAATGAAACCCTATCTACATCTACCCTGTGAAATGGGATGGTGGAGGTTGTTCGATGTAAATTTCCTTATCATTGGTACAGGGGGCCTACCATCCTGGGAAATGTAAAAACTACATGCAGAACGCATAAGTGGCATAAGAAAAATGAGGGGTAGACATGTTAGCTCGCTTTCAAGGGCGTTCATATCGATGGCAAGTGACCAAATTTACATTTCTTCTAGGTATGACTCAAAAGACCCACTCTGTGTTGGTTGAGCCTTATATGACAATGAGACATGCCGAAATTGTAAGAACTGAGTGTCATTAATAGCCGACTTGTGGTGTAGTCCTACGAAAATGAGGCCAGCCGCAGGTGGAGCCTGAGCCGCCAACTGCAGTTGTGATAGGTAGGGCGTCGAATCATGTTGGTCGTGGTGCATTGCACTTGCCATTGCAAAGAATTAATCATCACATAAAAGATTCCACGTCATTCGAGCTATGCTTTAAGTGATGGAACGGTGTGGCATGACTCCAAAAGTTCGAGTACTATTTATAGACTAACCTGACTGCGTGACACATACTGAGCCTCTTGACTTGTGAAATGCTTACAGCTTGATTTTAGGATTGTCGCAAGTGCCTCTTTTTACCTAAGACATTGTAACACGCTCAAATATGACCGAACTTTACGAAAGTATTGACCCTGATGGAGATACCTTGATTACGATCTCCTATTTGCCTGTGCTTACCCAGAGCGTGGATGAGCCAGTGGCTGCCGAAGACCCAGACCATAAAGATAGCCATTCCATCTTCTCCAGCACAGATGGGACTACCCACTGTCATGAAGGTCTGAGAGAACATCGTCTGGAGAGTTTTTTCATATTTATATAGGAACTGACTTATTTTCCTACTGATCTAGGAGACGAATCGGTATCCGAGCTCAGGTTGAAAGTATCCAAGAAACACCTTACAGTAGCATCTCGCCGTGCTAAAGCGATGTTCCAAAGAAACTATCGTGAGACTCAGAAATCTGAAGTTGATGGCCTTTACCACTGGAAAATTGGGCCTTTATTTGATCCTGAAGCTCTTAGGATGGTCATGAAGGTGATACACGCGCAAGCTCAAGATTTGCCAGACGACGTCACGCTTCAGAGGATAGTCTCAATAGCTGAGGTTGTGGACGACCTTCAATGCCATGACGCTCTATCATTCTTTGTCAAGGCATGGATTAATCGGTTATCTGAGTCAGTTCCGAGTCGAATGTGTGACGAGCTGGTACAATGGATCTTCATTGCATCGGTATTCGGCCTGGATGAGAAGTTCAAGCAAGCGACAAGAGTGGCAATCATGCACAGTACGGGGCCTATAGATACATTAGGACTTCCTATGCGTCCAGATATTGTCGGTATGTTCATCATCATCTCGCAAGTACGATACTTACCGGAGCAGATAAAATTGAGCAAAAGAGACAAGATCTTGTCGAAGATCTCATCGCACAGTTAGATGATCTGTTAGACAACTTATGCTCGGGCCGGTCTTGTCGTGTCCTTGCATGCAGGCTCATGATGATTGGAGCATTGACTCAGCAAATGAAGAACACGAATTTGCACTCGCCTCGTCCAGCAAGGCCTTTCCACAACCAGAGTCTGTCCTCAGCACTTGAGACGGTGCGACACTTTGACTCGCCTTCTCTCTATCTCCCATCAGAGGATAATCATCTTTATCTATCTGATCAAGTTAATTCGTCCTTCAAGGAGTCTAAAGAGGATGTTTGGGTGTTGCAGAAAGACATATTTTTATCATCCCGTCGGAAAAAGAAGGACAGGGGCCTGTTTGATTCAGAAGATGACGAACAACCAAACAAAAGTCCCAAACAACTTACGTTTCACTGCTGTCGCTTACAGGCTCACCTAGAGCCTGTAATTAATCTCTTAGAAGCTAAAGTGTTTACCCTGGATATAGATGGCTTCTGAGTAGGCTTATAATATGGCTTTAAAATAGTTACTTCCTTTAAATTAAGGCTAAAACTAGTAAAAAAGGTAGATAGGTATAGTAGTTTAAAGTGATTATAGCTTTATAAGAATTTTTAATATAAAGGATATATATATATATAACATCTAGTATAAAGCAACTTAAAAGAGAGTAATTATTATACTTTATTAAATAATTATTTTAGACCACTATATAAGATATTATATAAACAATTAGTAAATTATATTTATATTTAGTCACTACTAAAACTATTAAATTACTTTTTAATTTAACAAATACCTAACTTTATAAACTACTTAGTATATAAGATAAGACAACGTGCTATATTAAGTCTTTACTACATATCTATAAGAGCTAGTTTAGTGTCTATATTAAATATCTAGGTTTACAAAGATTATAGCTCTAGACTCAATAGTAGTGAAATATTTCTTATATCTTTTTAGAAGATTTATTCCAAATTGTATCTCTAAATATCTTCTATATAGCAGATTAACTAAGGGTCAATAACTCACAAGAAATTAAAGGGCTTATGCTAAATCAGTCACAGCTTTAGCTGAGGTTTCAACGCGCTGATAGCTGAGCTGAAAACCAAAACTATCCCAAGCGACGAAAACTCACTTTGTACTAAGGCCTTAGCTTCTAACCAAACCGATCAGTGAGGCTGACACCTGAGCGGATGCGCATTAAACAGAGGGACTCAGGTCCAGTATGTTGTTAGGGTTTGCCAATCCACTAGTCCACCAATCCGAAGCAATACTTCCAGATGTCGTAAGCGATGGACCTGCTGTTGAATCCAGATTCTTCCGACGACGGATCCCCAACCTTGTTTCAAGATCGCGAGCAGTAGTATCCTCCAGATGTCTGCTGAGCTCCCAAAGCAACGTTTTATTGCGTTTACGCACATCAGATATGAAGCATGGAGCAGGCATCCACGATGGATACAGCTTTTGGTGACTTGCTGAGGCGCTCATTTGTAGCGGATGGCGGGACATAAATCGATGACACAAGAAACAAGTCTTCTTACTCGTTCCCATGAAAGCAAGTCGTGGCGTTAGCTCAGGATGGTGGTCATAAAAACTGAGTATCTGCATTTCTGCATGAACTGTTAATGTCAAACGGCAAGCCTGACGGAACCGTAGCTCAGGGTCCCCTGTGAGCCAGATTTGGCCTAATTGGGACATGAGCTTATCATGGTCTACATTGGTGAGCTTCTGAATGACTGTCTTCAATGCTGCCAAATCGTTCCCCAGGGTGAATCGTTCTTGATCTGGGGCATCAATCACTTCGATGTGAATTGACGTAAAAAGGAACGGCTGCTTGATCGCTAATTTGATCATCGCTTTTGCTGCTGCAAAATATCGACCAAGCTTGTATATCTGAAAGACCCAGTCTGGTAATTCTTCTTCACCTTGGCAAAATAATGCCTCAAGATGCTCAGAGTAGACCCATTTCGCCCGTGATGCCCACTTGATGTGAGGAACCAACACAGTAGATTCAGCGTTGGGTTCAAGAGACATCAGAACCGGAAGACGTTCCATCCATGTCGCGAAGCCGGCTTTTTCGGGGTCGTCGGAGAGGACAGCATCTTTTCGCAGGGTGTCGACCACTCCCTTAGTGCACCGTTGAGTTTTTGGATCACGGAGTCTTTGCAAGATACTTTCAATTCTCAAACGTGCAAGATCAACAATCTTGAGTAGGAGCTGATATTCTTTTTCCTGAGTCGGCAGTTCTGTGCCATTGCTTGTCAACTGAATGTAGATGTTTTTGAGGGCGAGCTTCGTTCCATACCTGTTGAAGAAGCAGCAGCAAGGTCATCCAATACATCATTTAGACGTTGAAGTAGTTGTTGAGGCACACCAAGGTTGCGAGCAAGTCGCAAGACAGTTCCTGTAGGATGCCCTTGTTCCATACACACAGCTGAAGCTGTCTCGCCGCTTTTAGCAGAAGTTGAGCTGATTAGAGCAAATGAGTCCAGGAATTTCTTCTGAAGACTTTCTATCTTTCGCGCATTTTCATGGGGGTGCATATCGAGGCTATGTACTGTCGGTTCACCTCGGACCGGATCAATTAGAGACAGCAGGGTTGCTACTTTCACAAAGCGCTTATGGGTCTCGCCGGTTATGGCACCGTTTTGTGACGTTATATTCATATCAATAGACTGTAAATCTTGGTCTTTTAAAGCGATAAGCTTGCAAATGGGTACCCCGAGCCCCTCCATACGCTAGGTACAATAATCATGTTGGAGGCCGAGAACAATTATGGGGCATTACTGAGAGAGACTGGAAGCCACTGATGTCATCATAGATGCGGCAGGGGTCTACGTGCCCGGCCTCCAGCATGTACCTTTGTATTGTTAGGACTTCTGTTGATAAGGTTCCCTGCTCACATCAGCATCTATCCTGATGGCCGTTCTTCAACGTTAACTGTTGCAAATGAAAGGCTTTTGATTATCGCTGCATTGAGAGCAGATACTTTTGGTCCGTGGAGACTTTCCATTTCCAAGTCAAGACTTGCGAAAGATATGTCTTTCCATGCTAACCATCCATTTCGCCATGGTGCCCAAAATCCACCCTTGAGCGGAGATAATGCACCAGCACAGGATCAAGGGCAATACAAAGAACCATAGTGTCTAGACTCTGTGGCGCATCATGCAAACGCTCTACCCGACTACGCAAATGCAACCTCTGATCAGGACTACGGCGCGATTGATCCAAGTCTGTTGATGCAGGCCACGACGCCAGAGCATCTGCTGTTTCAGCTGCTTGCACCATCCCATGACGCATGAGCAATTGGTGATTTGCAATCGAACAAACAGCGACCCACAGTCGCTGCTGAAGATGCGATGCAAACGGTGTTTGAACCTGCTGGCGATGCAACAGTCTCGCAATCCACTATTTCCGCAGACCAGTCTGGGCCGGCGAGTCCCCCTTCAATCGACACAAATGATTTCTCCAACAAGTCAACAGACCTGGAAGAAAGAAAACCGCGCCTCGCTTGTAATTGGAAAGGTTGCAAACATAAAGCTGCCAACAAAGAAGAACACGAGTACGTGGCCATTCTTGACCATCATCTTGAATGGGGTTCTTTCTTGGTATTATTGGATGTATGCTGATCAATATTATTCTTTGTTTTCAGCCGGCATATGGCACAACACAGGACATGCCCCAAGAGTGACTGTTCTTGGGGAGACGCTAGTGAAGAAAAGCAGATCAAGCGCCATGTGTGGAGCAACCATAGGTCGTGGGCTAAGCAAACCAATTACCCTCCTATAGGTGGACCATGCCTTGAATGCAACAAGGTATACACAAGACAGGATAATTTGAAACGTCATATGGACGAGTGTCACCAAGGTCAAAAAAGAAAGAAGAGGGAAGTAGATAAAGTCTCGGCTTAAATTAGTTTTGTGTCTCTTGTAGTTGATTCTTGGACGGACTTATCATCGACAGGCAATTCGTTCAACAGAAGATGAGGTGAATGTTCAGAGTTTCATACCATCATCTAAATGAGCCTGGCTTGAAGAAATGAAAAGAAATTTAGCTTGAAGAATGACTAGTATCCCAGATTAAATTCAGTTTTCTTACTCTGCCTTACCTCAGTCCTTCTTTGCCTGTCCCTTTTCCCTTTTAAGTGTCTAGGCTGTGTGTTACATAACGGCTTCCTAAAACCTTTGGGCTGAGGCAAGGGACTGTAGTCAGATACAGTAGTTTGCTGAAGAGAGCCATAGGAAGTCTTACGATCTGGTGGCCGCACAGTTATCGCTGTTAGTCGTGGCTAGGCATACTGCCTGTGGCCATATAAAAAATTCCATGTACGGATTGAATTCTAAGACGGGGCTAGTTGAAGATATTCATAAGGAAGTTGTGGGTGTGTATAACAAGGAAAGATGATGGCTTGCGCAAGCTTTGTTCAATATGGATATAATCGATAACGTTAGTAAAGAAGCCCAGAAATATAGATAGCTGATAATAGCTGATAAAGGCATTTCGAACAATATTTCATTACTGACATACCATAGGGGAATTATCAAAGGTGCATGATCTTGACTCCGAATTAGCTGTAATAACTTTAAGCGCGTAGACGGGTTTATGCGTCTTTACCTTATATCTTTTACCACTTCTATCATGCCTCTCCATGCAATGAAAGGCTGTATATGCCTTTGTAAAATCAGACAAATTAGGTTTTGGCCCTGGCCGGTCTGGTCGGGACTCAAGTCTCTTATTAAATCTGATTTAACAATTCGCGATGCATTTACTTCATTATCAAAACCCGCAAGGTTCACGAAGACAAGGAAGACTGCCTATCGGATTTGATGCAGGAAGTAACACGACCGAAATCAGCCCTGAGTTCGCCCAGACTGTACTCAATGGCACGCTAATGCTTCACTTTGTCCAGAGAGAAAACGAAACTCAGACATATAAAACTAGACTGGTTCTGGCATCAAGTCTCTATCTTCCAACTAGTGCCAGTGACAAAGTAAAACGGCCGCAACTACCCTAGCCTAAAGTTAATTGGTATTTTTGAGTGTGTTGGCTTGATATATCTCGTTGAGATATCATAAGCTTTAACTATCAATCAACTACCCTAGCCTCAAACGCACAGTCATCTGAAATGCGCAATCTGAACCTTGGAAGCCGTCAATTCTCTTTTTCCTTGGTTAAACGCTGGGCAGGGTACGGTAGTATGACATGCGGGATTAATTAAGGGAATTGCAAGGGTCGTTATCAAGTTCGTTGGGGTCCGTGCCAGAGTCCAATTTCACCCGCTGCAGACGCAACAGTTCTTCCGCCGAGGTGAACAAGGCAGACTTGGACACATGCTAGTCCGGGCACAGGGGGCTAATGGTGGGTAACTGATCATATAATTCACCATATAGCTGATGATAAGGCCATTGTGTACGCAGCTTGAGATAAGGGTAGTCATATTATGAGTCGTCAAAATACAGTTTTGGTTACGCCGTTGCCTTGAACATAGTTGAGAATGGAATGGGCTGTATATTTTTAACCTCCATGGATAATAAATCAGTCCCTGCTACCAGAACCACTGCAGTCGTGCTTGAGCCATATTGCTTAACCCCATAAAGGTCATCAAAACCGTCTCGATCGAACGCCAAATAAGGCGGGGAAATCAGACAAGTAGGACTCAGAGAAGTAACCAGTTTGATTAATAGGATATGCCACTTCGCACCTGTCAATTATAACAGGACAGAGCGTCGAGAGTCCAGATAAGCAGCTAGTCTATACTGTTCTACACCTCTTCGCCTAATTCTTTGCGTTTGGAGCGGCCCGCTCCAAGAAAAGTAATTTATTGACGAATCGATAGTTTTCGGATTGCAAGTTCGTGGGGACCGATTGTAATCAGGCATGGTCAGGAATCAGTGATGTAAACAGACTGTCTGGGTCGTAGAAGCAGGAGTAGCGTGCCCGCATTTGCTCTTTGGAATTTGGAATACTATGTGATGTAAAGTATTCTCGTTTTATTCAATACGAACATGAAAACAAAAACTTATACTATGTAACTTTTTCCTTTTTAAAAGATACTTTGCTGTTATTATCCTAAAATCTCTATAGCTTCTGCCAAGTCCTGCAGCGCGGTCTGCAAGATTTGACGCCTTCCTTGAGTCGCGCGTGACTCACGCGCGATCAATTGTAGCTTCTCATCACTCAGGTCCAGCACCCACTGTTCACAAAATAGAATCAAGGGACTTGATGGGCCTGAAAGCAAGCAGTGATTAACGGCCTGGTGGTAGATGTTATCGACGAACCGCTTGCGTGCCACTTTATAGTAGGCCCGGAGAATATCGTGTATCTCTTCTGCTGTATGCTGGGTATTGCTATGGCTGTTTACCACTGATGAAAAATCGTCAAGCTTAACAACTTGCTGCCCAGTATTCTGGTCATTCCACGCCTTTTTCTTCAGTGCTTTATTAATGCGATCGTTCCGTGCTTTCTGTAAGTTCTCATTGAAGTAGTGGGAAAGCGTATAGGGCTTTTTGTGTCTCTCGATATGAACCAAGTGAATAGCTCGGTTCATGGCATCCTTATACCTCGCAAGGAGATCACCCATCAAGCCAGATATGAGCCCATCGAGAATACGAGCATCATGACAGACTTTCCCAAGGGCTCCAAGTATGAACTTGTGGACAGACAAAATGATTTTACTCAAGTACTCTGTTGCCATCTGCTGCCAGTAGATAGGCTGTTCTTGGAAGGCACTGGACAGAACTCGTGGCCCAAAGGTACCTAGTTCGACACCTCGAGAACGTCGATGCATTTGAGTGATCCAAGGCATGATTCCTATCGATGGTCGATGTGAAAACCCTTTTCTTATAATGATACCCTCTAGATCGGGATATAAGTCAAGATCACAGCGGGTAGATGACTCCTCATCAGTATCTCCTTCATCCTCATCTTTAGAATCAGAAGGGATTGGTGGAGGACTTTCCAGTGCGGGAGCTTTCTTCCGATTTATCGCTTGAAACATGTAAGTGTGCGCACTAGCTTCGAAGTCGACAGCAAATTCATCCGTTGTGTTGATTACCTCCGTGATGAGACGTAAGTTATCATCCGCGAATGCTTGGTTTGTTGAGTAGTCTACATCCAACGCTGCTCTTACAATGTTCTAAAACTTGCTCGCAACGCTGACTAGAAACTGCTGTTGTTGTCGTCCTGTCTGGCGTGGAGGTCCAAGACTCGCCAGCTCTTCTTGCTTCTCAATGAGCTTGCGACGCGTCTCGGATCGAAGTTTAGGAAATGCCTTGTCAGCGATCTGTCCAAGAAGATCTTGAAGGCAAAATCGAAGAGCCTTAATCCCAGCCTTGTGATCTGGCAGAGAGGTCGAAGGTTCATCTTTGAACATGTCTTCACGGTGCAGCGAGTCGGCACCCCCGTCAGAATCTTCCTCGTCGCCGCCACGGCTCCTAACGACATAGTAACCAAGGGTGAGAGGTCGCCGTTTACCCAGGACCAGGTCGCAGACGACGGCCTGTGCACTTCGTTCTTTGAGAAGATCAGGCTTTGTGAGAATACCCAGTGTACGCTCGCCAAATGGGTCGACCTCTTCGGCGAATGCCAGAATTTCCTAAGTGGCAATATCGACGTTGCATGGGAGAACAGCCAATATTACTGTGCGGCTATCGCGAATGTAGTTCTTGACCATCCTTTCGACTAACTGACGTTATTTATCTGTAGTAACTCCTTGAGCGGTGATACGAAAGATTCCGGGAACGTCGATGGCTATCAGATAATCCTAATCCTCATCTGGTCCACATCTCTCAATTTTCAACACGTCTTCAGTAAACGTCTTGACACCACCTGGGTTTCTGGGCGTTTTGATCTCCATAAGTGTATTCACCTGTTACCTAAGAGTCAGCATCAAATTTCCAAGATAGTTGATGTTATCTGTACCTCATTTAAAATGTCTGGAAACTCAGCGTTGAGCTGTTCAGTCGAGTGCACTTCCTTAGTAAAACTCTCGAGTTTCTCTCTTTGCTGGACTGGAGCAGTTGGTCCTGGAATAATACTGATAGTAATACGAGATACAACATCGCGACGGTGAGTGATCTGAGTTGCATAACGAGTGCGAAGCTCTTGGCCACGCGGAAATGGGATTCCAATTAGATTTTCTAAAAGAGATGACTTCCCAGAGCTTTGGTCCCCGACAGCGACCAATTGGGGTAGGGCAAGGTAAGTAGCAATATTTTTCTCGCGGAGCTGGTCGATCTTACGCAGTCGGTCTGGGCTGGTCAGCCTAGATTGACTCATGGTGATTTTCTTGTAGATGATAACTGCTGAGTGAATGATGGGGTTGTTAAACATAGACTAATATCTCGACAACAAAGATTTTGAGGATAGTCAAAGGCATTTCATTTTGTTGGCCAGTCGCTCTCTTTAATCTGCCCACTGTCTGACTTGGCTCGGCTTATCGCCCCAATCATTTAGAGATCTTTCACGAGAGCACAGAGCGCTTGGTGGGCCTCCAACATACAGCGGCAGTAACGATGATGAATACAATGCCACGGAACCAATAATTGGGAGCAGGACAACGCAAAATTTACTCATCGAGAGAGACCCACCGAAAAGCCAACAGGCTTCAAAAAGAGGCGGCCACTTAAGTGCTATTTCTCAAGGTGAGAGATAGCATTAGTACCAATTGGACTTACCACCATGGGGTAATTGTCACAGTTGTTGGTGATAACATGTCGCAGCTGTATTAGCCCGAGTGGGCTACTTGCCTCCTCTCTTATGCGGGAGGCCTATTATTCTTATTATCTGGTGGCCATTGTTGCCCAACCTCTCCGGACTACGATCTGTTTCCTTCTGTGAGACCTCACAATCTTTCTTCACAGTACCTATATTTTTACAGCGCAAATGAAAGCGACAGCTACGGACCAAGATCCCCTGCTTGACGCCCTGTTTTACCGCCTCCTAGTCCGGCCTGAACTGCCATGGAGTTTCAACGGTCACAATACCGCCCTTGCTTACAACCCCGCGGGAAGGTTACATGATGCCTTATCTATGCTCACGGCATTGGCTCCCCGTCATGGGGCTGTGCTACATCACAATACGCAGTTTGACTTTATTATGGATTACATAGGTATACCTGAGCTTGCTGTCTTTCTATAGATAGCGGCAGCAAACTCATCTGCAAGGACGGCCCATGCTGGAATAATCAAACCTAGGCGCCGCGATAGCCATACGAGCAACCTCATGGTTGAGACCTTGAATCAGCAGAGAGAACTTCGAGCAACGTCGTCATTCGTGGAAGGAAGCTTCGTACTGACCAAGTGAGACTGTCTTACAATAACAGCTTCATTTATCGTTTCAATCTCTTCAGCAATCTTGAGAATGCTCTGCTTCTTTTTGGAGCTTCTCTTTCTAGATGCGAGCTTGCGGTTTTATAATAGTCTCGAATGAAGCAAAGGCCTCGCTAAAGGAAGTGCCAGCAGTGCTGCATATGTTAATGCTCTGTCCTAATTCACCAGCAATCAGCAATCAGCAATCAGCAAAGAGCCTTTGAATGTTCGAATATTCAATATACTGTACTAGAATCGGGTTCAATGCGAGAATATTGGATCTAATTATAAGTTAAGGCCTCGAGATACGCATTTCAAATGGTGTAATTGATTGGCCAGCGTGAACTTTTAACATTTGATACAAAGGAACACAGCAATCATGTTAAACATAGACTTGGTTATACTCTAGTTGCCAACCTTTGTGTTCTCTAACGGGTAATCTCAAAGGACTAGAGCACTCTTGGCGATGATCTCAGGTAGTGACAGGGCAATTTCTATAGACAGCTGGCCATATTGCGGTGATCTTTTGCTTGCCCAGTGAGGCCGTGCATGGAGTGAAGAGAGCCACGAGCTTGCTAATTTGATGACTGAGCGATACAACTGCTGCCTGCTTCAATACTGATTCAGCTTAGCGTCATAATTTGGTCAATCCGTCTGTCCATAGAAAAATGCCCAATCGATCTGGTAGGATCACGAGACTTGACAGAAATTACATATAGTTGCCTTAGTTGCAGTAATAACGTGACTGCTTCAGGAAGTATCTCACTCAGTATAGTTACTACCCCAATTTATAGTTAATAACATTTATGTCCTATATAATATGCTCTAGAGTCAACTTGGCCGTTTGACATCAGCCTCAAAACTCGCTAGATGGATTATAATCTTATTAAAAATGGTCAATTTATTCTTATAAATATTTAACTTGCATTCTCTGTCCTCGACTTAATTAAAGTAGAAAGAAATTCTTCAACCGGTTTATGCCTCTAAGTTTGTTACTATGGGCCCGAGAGCTGATTGATGTCCCTTTGATGCAATAAATTCTACAGACCCTTCTGGACAATTGCACTCTGAAGTGTTTTTCCTGAAGCTGAGATTCAACAAGGCCTACTCAAAGTTAGCCTAACTATAAGCACTGCTAGTGAAGTGAAGTGCTTACATTAGGGTTAAGTTTGAACTTAGCTTTCGCGATATCCTTTAAATCTATCCCCTTCTGATTCTTATCTAAGAGTCCCGGATCCAAAGGCTGCACGTTTATATCAAGTAGATCCCTTGCTGCTTGAATTCCCGAATGGATGGCGCCAGCTATCCAAGTGTGATGGTAGGAGAGGTGTTCACCAGCAAAAAAGATATTCCCTTCGGGTCGGCTGGCTTGAGCAAAGTGTCTTGTAAGCTGACCTGGCCGGAACATAGTGACTCCTGTCGCTGTTTGTTCAGACCATATTGTGTCTGAAGACTCGATTAAAAGCTCATGGACATTAATCTCTGCACCGGTCCGGTCACGTTTGCCTTGAAAAACCTTTGCAATACATTCTAATGCCAGCGCGCGACGCTGTACTGGATCGAGTGGAAACCAGTTAGCTGCGTCTGTCATCCTAGAGCAGTAACTGTTAGTCTCTGTCGTCAGAACATCCTTCGCCTCTGGGATCTCGTCACTAACCAACCGTATACAAGTAAAACCCCTGGTTCATTTTCTCCTATCCCGTGAGATGGGAAAACAAGCCATCTAATAGGCAGGTCAGTGTTGGTTTGCCCTCCTAAGTTGCCTCCACAAGAAACATCTTCCCAGAATCTGGTTTTGAAACGCAAACCCATCTTATACAATGGCTCTAGTTGGAGTGAGCGTATTGCCGTTTCCTTTTCCAGGCTCCATATAGGGCGGTTTGCTATCCTCTGCAAAGCAGCTGGAGGTATAGCAAGGACCAGACGGTCAAACTCTGCATCAATAATGCCATCATGACCTACAGCCTTGATCCGTATGCGTTTGTCGCTGTGTGTGATCACCTGCGTCACCTGGGCCCCGATCGTGATGTTTCGGTACCCAACTAGCCAAGCCATTGCTTCTGGCAGTCGACTCATTCCTTGATTGATTGTCTTCCATTTGCCTGTTTTGAACTCCTGTAATCTCATGTAGATCTCGGGGACACTGAGAGAGAACTCATTAGGTTGAAAGACCGTTGCTTCAACGAAATCAATAACCGATGGAGGCCAGTGTTTGACAGAGATAAGGAAGTGTCGAAAAGTGCAGTGATCATACTCTCTTACAATTCGAGAAAGTGCATGATCAAAACTATCATTCTCGCCGTGCGATAGCCCGCAAAATACTTCATCAAGTAATTCTCCAACATTTTTGGTTTTGTAGCTTTCCGGTACACTTACCCAGCCAGCAGTGAGAGGCGTGAGACTCATTATCTCGGCTTGAACTGTCGAAGAGTTGAAGTACATGCCATTATTCTCATGGCGGTAAACATAATCCATTAAGCGGATTTCCATTCTTGCTGGGACATCCTTGTGACCGTTCAAGTATTCGATCAGCGAGAATACCACTCCATGAGACTCGATGTCAGGGATACGCATAGCACCAGCTTCGTAGTATTGATTCTCGGCTTCCGTGAAGTAGTGAGTGTACACACGGCCACCGATACGATTGGTAGCCTCGAAAATATGGACCGAATGTCCTTCACGTTGTAAGAGAAGCGCGGTATATAATCCAGCGATTCCAGCACCAACGATTCCGACATTATAAGCTAGGAAACAGGATGAGCTAGGAATTTCCTCATTTCAAATCAATGCACTATAGTTGTACCTACATGGCATGCTTGATAGGTGGATATAGATGGGAACGTGAATCAGCGGATAGCATTCGAGGCTTGGATATTCAGTGGGTGACAGCGTATTTTTTCACCGAGTCTGCGAAATATACTTGATGGAGAAGGTGGAAAGTTGGCCTAGCGAGCTACTTATTGAAATACATCATATTGCAAAAGGTACTTCTGCCGAGATGACAGATGGACTTCGAATGGGAATCTATAAAAAAGGTGTGGATGGGCGTCGGTATGAAGCAAGTTTGATAGAGCCCAATCAGTTACCTATCAGTCTTGTCGTTGCGAAAATGACCTATTGCACCTCGCCCCAAAATAAGGCTGCCATGCATCCTCACCAGCGGAGACAGTGTTGTAAAACACTGTAATGCTTGTGGTATTGATCATCTAAGACACGGCTCGGCAAAACACGGCTTGATGCCACGTCATGAGTATGCAGTGACTACTCTTAAACAATCACATGAGAAGCTACAAGCACCAAGATTGTGTGAGTCCCAGGACACTGTATGCCTATCTGCATACGACAACCCCTTCATTAAATAACACGCAGGGTATGTAGCCACATTGTGTCAGTAATGAGTCATGATAGCTCGTATGTCTTAATTCCTCTGCAAGCATGGATGTCATCATTTGCTGGCTGACCCAACCTACCTTTTTGCCGTCCGAACCGGCTTGTACCCTGCGCACCCCCCAAGCCCTGATGTAGAATACCAGTGTGCTTCAGCTCCCCTGGGTAGTCTGAATACCTATTCCCCCACCTCAATCACCCTGCAGCAGACTTAACATTGTACAGTTTCTGATAAAGCACGATCTGATCATACCCCAAGTCGTCCTCACATACAGTAAAAGGCCATACAAAAAGAATTTCCATGGATTCAACAATAGAAAATGCTGAAAAGCAAACTCTTCCACCGACTCTCGATGAGTCAAAAGAGTGTATGCCAAGATCCCAGTCACAAATAGGCAACACCCTGCCTGGTACCCAGCATCATGATACATGCAATTGCAACCGTAACGAAGAGCACGAGCAAAACTCACAACTGAGCACCTTGCAGAGAAATTATTTTGAGGTTGGGTGGGAGAACGGCGACCAGGATCCATTGTGTCCACGCAGCTTTGGCAAGTGGCGGAAGTGGGTTATTGTGTTTGTCATATCTTTTGCTAGTCTCTGCGTGTAAGTACCAAGTTTTTGTATGACGAAGCATTCTCAATTTGAGATAAGAGGAAACTATATGCTAATAGCATGGCACAGGACATCCGCGAGCTCTATTTACCCATCAACATATACCCAAATGGAAGCCGATTTTGGTAACTCACGTATCATTTCAACCTTGGGACTTTCATTATTTGTCTTGGGTATTGCGATCGGCAGTTTGTTTTTTGGTCCCTTTAGTGAGTTTTATGGCCGACGACCCATCTACTTAATTTCCTGGTCGATGTACATCATCTGCATTGTGCCTGAGGCAATAGGAAAGAACGTCATCACTGTACTTGTTGGCCGGTTCCTGAATGGTTGGTCAGGCAGTGCGTTCCTTTCTGTGTTCGGAGGCACGGCCGGAGACATGTTTCGAAAGGATGAACTTCAAGAACCAATGCTTTTCTTCACACTCGTACTCTTTACTGGCTTATGTATTGGACCTTTAATTGGTGGTTTTGTGAATTACGCCGCTGATTGGGTCTGGACGTATTACGTGTTACTGATCTGGGCATCCCTCCTTTTGCTAGCAATCATTCTACTTATCCCGGAAACTTGTCGTACGTTATTTTGCAGCTGAAAACGCCCTAGGGAGACAGTCGACTAATCCAGCGTTGATAGATGCCATCTTAATCAAGCAGAAAGCCAAAAGGCTCCGAAAGGAAACGGGTGACAACCGATGGATTGCCCCAAAGGTTGGCGTTGAAAATTCAATTGTTGGTGTCATCAAGTCCTGTGTTATCCGCCCTTTTGAACTCCTTTTATTTGAACCGATGTGTCTTGTTCTATGTATCTTCTCCTCTATTCTTCTTGGCATGTTCTATCTCTTCTTGGGCTCTTTTCCTCTCATATTCACCAAGGTGTATGGTTTTAGTTCTTGGCAGGTAGGATTGACGTTTTGTGGCATTCTCATCGGCATATATCTTGCTGTTACCGTCGAACCCATTTGGTACCTGTTCCGACACAAATATACCAATCGAAGGGACGAGGACACGGATACTGAAGGCAGTTTGGAACCTGAAGTTTTTCTACCTTTTGCCATATTAGGTTCTCTCCTGGTACCGATGGGCCTTTTCATATTTGCTTGGTCCTGCTATCCTTGGGTGCATTGGATTGTACCTATCACTGGGTCAGCAGTCTTTGGATCCGGGTGAGTTTTTGCATTTCAACCACGCTCAGATAAATATGTTTCTGACTGACCTTGCGACACTAAAAGGGTTCTTCTTGTCTTCACTGGCATTTTTACATACCTAGTAAGTGGTTTATTATACAGGTTCCAGCAGTTCTCGCCAGGCTATTTTCTCTCAAGCATTAAAAGATTCTCAAAGAACTGTCCCCATGGCGATAGTACCGGAAGTAACCAGGGTGCTAATTACACGTCATACACAGGTCCATGCATATCCGCAATACGCTGCCAGCGCCCTCGCTGCTAACTCATTTATGCGTTATATATTTTCCAGTACGTCTTCTTTCAAGTCAGTCGATCTTAGCCCCCCCTCCATTCTGTTGTGTGATGTTTGGCCTCTTCATGGCAAATAAATATCATTTTGCATCTCAAGGACAACACTAGATGGTCCAGATGAATCTTGTTATAGCGAAATGAGTAATCGTCTGCCGGGAGTGTATTGTTGTAATATCCGAATGAATACTGACACTTGAACGTTTAGCTGCATTCCCTCTCTTTGGAAATCAAATGTATGAGAAATTCGGAAACAATTGGGCTTCTTCGCTCTTAGGCTTTCTCACTCTCGCTATGATGCCCTTTCCATATATATTTTTCCGCTATGGGAAGGAAATCAGAGCTAAGAGCCGGTTTGCTGATTCAGGAGATGCTGATTGATGGGACACTAATTTACGGCATGACAGCTTTTATAATCATGGCGCACGCTAGCCTATTACTAGGAAGAAACTGCAGCTACCGACACGTAAGGTGAAATGCAAGAGACAAGTGGGATAAGATCAAACGCGGTTAAGCCAAGTACCTCTAGACTTGAACTTCAAAAATAGATATCTCACTTTTCATTCACTATGTGATAATTCTTCACAACTAAAATTGTAAAGTTATTGCACTCTGTGGGCTGAGGGCTTTCTCAACCTAGAGGCGTTGTGTGGCATGTCTCAACTGCAGCACCAGGAACTGGCTCCGGACCGATCTGAATCGAGCCGTTCCGTCCTGACATAGCTACAGAGATCTCATCGTTGTAGATCAGCCCAATCGCCCTTTTTATTCAGGGCGAAAGATCTGTGCTTTCGGTAGTTCATACCCCTGGTGGCGCGGTGTATGAGATAACTGGCCCTTTATACCTGGTCATCATTACTGGATATTGTCTTCAACATGGCCGTTCGTTAAGCCTAAGGCAAAGCCTGTAGACATCATGTCGCCTTCCCATTCTGTTTCCAGGTCTTCACATAGTAGTTTAATGCCAACATATTTCTCGCTTTAGAATTTGACCTTATTTAACTTGTGATTCATTTACTACATAACCTTGCTGGGCTCGCTGAGCTATCCTTTTACATGTTGAGGAAGAGAAGCTTCGCTGCAGACCCATACAACATCATTAGACATTGGAAACCCATTGAAATGAGTGACAGAGCTTGAGGTGTAGGCGCCCATGTTATTGAAGTAGAGCCAGTCTCCGATTTTGATCGTCGCCTTGAAGCGAGTAGTCTTGACCACACAATCAGCTCCATCACATGTTGCTCCCCAGATCGAATAAAGAACACCATCATTCGACTTCAAAGGGTTGGCGTCTCGTGTACCGTAGAGAATTTTGCCGTTGGATCGGAGAATTCTGGCAATAGGTAGGTCGTGATCGATAAGAACGCCAGAGAAATTACCGTAGGTTCCATCCTGAATATATATCATATGACCATTTTGTTGATAAGTTGCACCATGGGTGATGCGACGAGCAATAACACTGGTGGCAAGTGTAAATGCAGAGGCAACATAGTATCTTCCAGGCTCTGCTATAATTTCGATTCCCCTTGAGGACGGAAAATAAATGTCTAATTCGTGACGAAGGTGCCAAGCCATGTTCTCGAAGCTTTCTTTGCAGAAACCACCTCCAACATCGAGTACGCTCAAGTTGAACCCAAAGGCTGACGCTTGACTAAATACTCGATTTGCATCTCGGACCGCGTTGACAAATGTCGTGGGGTCAGAAGCTCCTGATCCAACGTGGAAGCTCACACCAATGATATTTAGGTCGAGTTCTTGAGCAATAGCCAGAAGTGAGCCGACTGTAGCACTGTCGGCTCCGAACTTCTTACTCAGAGGAGAGTGACTAGTAGAATCATCTGTTGAGATACGAAGCAGGAGGCAGGCAGAAGGAAACACATCCTTGATCTTGTACAACTCATCTGCATTGTCGAATGTCATTCTTTCAACGCCAACCGCTTTCGCATAGTGGATATAAGACAATGCCTTACAAGGGTGAGCGTAAATGATTCGCTCCGGGTCGGCACCTAGCTTAAGGATCTGCTCTATTTCATTTCTCGAGGCACAATCGAATCCCGTCCCGAGATTGTACAAGAGCTCCAGAACTGCTGGATGCGGATTACACTTCACAGCTTCTACAGTCATTATCTTTTGTCTGTAGCTTCATTTCTCAGCCACTTACCATAGAATGGCTTGACGCATGGTAAGAGTTGTTTCCAGATAAGGTGTTGTCTGAAGATTTCCCCAAGATCTGCCACAAAGAATGCATCTTCTTGGTTGTGCGAAACAACTTTTGCATCGAGGCTGTCGACTCGCTCGCGCAAGGCCTGTCGTATGAGATGCTCTGCTGTTGGCATGGTGT